GGGACCAGAAGATTTTTAGTTCCAAAAAAATATTTCTGAAAACTTTTATGGTGAAAATTTGTTGTCAAGTTCCCGAAAAAAACAGTTTTTCTCAAAATTTTGAATTTTCTTCCTCGTCTTTTTGAATTCTTCCTATACCACGTTAAATTTTGATCCTCATTTTCCGAAATTTTTCCTCCAAACCAAACCAAACCAAAACCGTTTTGTTATCTGTTTGCACTTAAAGTGGATTTCAATTCTTCTTTTCTCCTCCTCCTTCCTCATGATTTGTTTTATTCGAAAAAACCTGTCGATCAAAAGAATAAAAGAGGAGAGCGAGAGAGAATCAAAATCAGTTCATAAGATCGGCATCATTTTTTGCCTCGATATTTTCCAGTTCCTCTCCAATTCCCTTGATCTCTCTCTCGAATATTTTTTATGATTCGATTAATATCTGCACCCTCCTCAATTCCACACTCTCTCACACATTATCGTATTGTGTATCTACGTATTGTATGTGCTTGACAATGTTTCGTTGATCATTTATACCAATGTGTGATTGTTGTGTCTCGTTTTCTCTAATTCTCTCTCTCTCTCCAATATTTTTGCAATGATCATTCATTCAACGAATTATTCTTGTAAATATAAATTTTTCATCCTAATTTTTATTTAAAATTTAAAAATATTTCAAATATGTTTCCAATTATATTGATTTGATTTTTTCTCATCTTCCGATTTATTTGTGTATAGTTCACTAGTTCACATCAAACAACTTTTCTCTTTTCCACCCTACATTTGTGTTTCGTTGATCTCTCGCAAAATGTTTCTATGGATACTTTTTGCCTTTGATTTTTTCTCTTTTACTTTCATATTTAATTTAAAAATTGTTGGTTAGGCATCCAAAAAAAAAGTTCATTGAAACAAAAACGCTTTATTGTTTTTCTCTCACATAAAAAACTAAGAATATACGGAAAATAATATTTTTTATGCCTCCGTATAGGAAAAAATGATAATATTCATAGATTTCTCTTTTCTTTCGTAGACACAAGGTGAGAAAATTGTATATTTTTTGCAAAAATGACATTTTGTGCATTATTTGTAGGCATTTGAACTTTTTCGAAAAACTTGAGACTCTTATCAATTTTACATGTGAATGCCATGATTTTTCCGGTTCCACATTTTTCGAAATACTACATTTTATGTGGAAAAATGGGAAAATGATTTTGAAAAATTGATGTTTTTGACATTTCAAGTTTATTAGTTTTGTCAGGGGGAAATTAAACATGGAGTTATTTTTTTTTGTAATTAAAGGGACATCGGAGAAAAATCGCAAATTTTGAATCGGACCATAGGAATCGGCCCAGGTCCGATTAATTGGACCCGATTTTGAGGGGTTTCTGAATCGGACCAGGTCCGATTTTTTGAGAAAAATTCTGAATCGGACCCGAAAAATCGGACCACTTTTTCAAAATTTCCTGATTTTTGCACCAAAAAATTGACTTTTTTGAAAAAGGGGTCCGATTTTTCGGGTCCGATTCAGAATTTTTCTCAAAAAATCGGACCTGGTCCTATTCCTTCTTTGTGGTCCGATTCCTATTGAAAAAAATGTCACCCTGGTCCGATTCAGAAAACCCTCAAAATCGGGTCCGATTCAAAATTTGCCATTTTTTAGATCTAATTTCTAGGATTTTTGAAAAAGTATCGGGAAATCGAACCTAACCGGAATTTATTGATTTTTTAAAGAAGGTGGTTCAGAACTAGCTCAAAATAAGAATTAGAAGAATCCAGCAAAAAATTTGAAATCGGATTTTGGACCACGTTTTTTAGTTTTGGAACGTTTTTTTATTTAAAAACCCTGGAACATCCTGAATTTTGAAGATTAACAAAGTCCAATTTTCAAGATTTCCAGATCTGTTTTTACACTTTTAACCTTTTCTCAAAATCCCCCAGATTTTCCCTAGTTTTCCAAAAAACGTGCTATTTCGTGCTCCGCTTCCCGGACAAACCTATCTCCGATCTTCATTTCATTTCCAGAAAAATAATCTCTCAATCCGAATCTAATAAATCCATGTAAACGTGTTTTCCGAATGGAACTAAATGATCCGATTTCGATTGACAAAACAGTTTCCGTGATTGAGTTCAAAAAATAGGACTAAAAAAAACCTGGAATTTTTCGGTCGCGAAAAATATGTAGATAATAATTTGAGATAACCGAACACCTTGCGGACCTAGGCACAGAAAATTCGCCTCGATTTTTTTTGAAACGTGCGTTTTTTGAAAGTATTGGTGAAGATGTTCAGATAAAATCGGTGTTTTTAAGAGGTTAAGTCGATCACAATCTGAAGCGTTACTAGAAAAAATGCAATTGGAATTGATCTTTCTTCACATCAAGCACACATTTTCCGAAAAATTTCGAAAAATTCCGAATCCACCGTATCTAATTGTCCCCAAAACTTATTGACACTCACAAAAAATTCCTTTTTGGTATCACAAGACTTTATTGTACATTTAATGACCAATCAGCAGCAAGCATCACAAAAGATGATCGTTTTGAACTTGATTTGGTGATACTTCATTATTTCTTATCAACACAACACAAACACAAAACACCAAAGTATCAATGGAACTGTTTAATATTTAACATGTATACTTTTGAATTGATAAAAATTGTGAGAAAATGTTGCGATTGAGGTTGATTTTTGTTGAAGATTAGGGGAGAAGACAACAACAAATTACTGTTAGAAAAATTGTAAGATCACTCTGAAGAGTACTCAAAGTTTTTATGTTTCCGATTTCTTGACCGAGGTTTTTTTTTTGAATTCTGAAGTTGAAGCTACTTATTGTTAGAAGTGTAGGTATTGTCATTCCGAAAAAATAAGAACCTTGGAAGAGAACCGAAATGGCCTAGAAAACCAAGACTACAGTAGACTTCGCAAAATTTTGGAGTCTATTTGAAAAATAAAATGCGAAATTTACACACTGGCTATTTACCAACCAGTTTGATGTGCATGTGTCACGTCATTTTTAGTCTACTGTACGTGAGCGCCAATTCAAACGGGGGTTCTTTTATTTTTGGATTGACAATATCAAATTGATCTTCCAGATTTTTCAGAGCCTAGCTTCAGCGAGCCTCAATTTCCAAGTTAAAACTTTTTGAAACTTTGATGTTTTCATAAATTTTCTGGAGGTTTTTTTTCAAAAGTTCCAAAAATATTTTGAAATTCTTCTAAAAAATCCAGATTTCTCCCGAGATTCAGATTTTACACAAAACTCTATGCACACATTTTTCTACTCTCAAATTCCAACCTCAAAAATTACTGTATAGAACAACCTCAAAACTTCAAGCACATTTTCTCTCTTTAGATCTATTCTCCTCATTCAAGGTCCATTTTTTTTCGCCCAACAAAAAATCGCTGTACGTTTGTTTTTTTTTCCATATTTATCTGATTTGGACTAAAAATTCACCGCCCGCCTTTTCGCTGCAAAAAAATGAGTTGGGTTTTAAAAGCCGGCAAATCTTCATTCTTACAGCAAACTTTTCATTTTTCGAATAAAAACGTGGCATTAATGTAAATGACTAATCCCTTATTCATTTTCAAAAAAATAATGTTCTCAAAAATTATTTGTTCGCTCTTTGAATTGTAGATATTAGTCTAATCTCGTTGATCATATTTAATACCCTGAGCTCATTTTGATTAGTTTTCTGTTGGAGTTCACTTTTTGCTTCTGATCACTTTCGGATTTCAGAATTTTTCAGATTTTTATTTCTGGTTTGTTTTGAGAAATTCGGATTTCCAAAAAAAATCTGATTTCCTGGAGTTTGAACATGGTTTTCATTTCTAAATATTGTCAATCCGAAAATAAAAGAACCCCCGTTTGAATTGGCGCTCACATACAGTAGACTAAAAATGACGTGACACATGCACATCAAACTGGTTGGCAAATAGCCAGCGTGTAAATTTCTTATTTTTCAAATAGACTCCAAAATTTTGCGAAGTCTACTGTAGTCTTGGTTTTCTAGGCCATTTCGGTTCTTTTCAAGGTTTTTATTTTTTCGGAATGACAATATTAGTTCCTCCTCCCCTAAAACACATTTATTTTTAAAAATCTAACCTACAGTCACTTCGGGCTCCGCCCACTTCCAAAAAAGGCCCCGCCTCTCATCACACCAGATTTGTTTTGAACCAACCAATCACGTTCAACTTTATTTTCTATTGTTTTTGCTTTGAACTCTGAGCTCCAAAATAGAACTTTGCTCGGCGGGGAAAATCACAGGTGGATTTTTTTAATTAAGAGAAAGTAAAAAAATTTGGCAAAAAAAGAGAAGCCAGAAATTCAAATTCCAATTTCCCCAAGTACGGTATTCCTCTGCGTCACTAACACCGTTTCGAGACCACACCATTGGGCAGAAGAAACAAAGTCAAAGACGCACATATGGGTCTCGCAGCGACTGAAAGAAACACCGTACTTGGGAAGAGTGTCATTTGAATTTCTGGGCTCCGTTTTTTTTGCCAAATTTTTTTATTTTGATAAAAAATAGAAGCTTTTGTGAAAAATCAGATCGATATTTGCAATTCTACTTCTGAATCTAAAAAATCCCAGACAATTTCAATTTTACTACAAAAGTCAAATAGTACATTTCCACTACATTGTACATGTATTTGTATTGTTGTACGGAAATTTTTGTTTACCCAAGTATAGGTTAGTTTCATTCGCGTGTTTTGATCGTTCGTGTGCGAACCGAAAGATCATTGTGATTTTTTTTCGGCAAAGAATGTGTAAATTCTGCTGTAGATTGTGTTCTGCTTGTTCAATTCATATAAATATCCTAGAAACTTTTTCTGTTCTCTGAACTTTTGTGTGAAAAGCCCGCCCCCAAAATTTTTCCTTTTTTATTTATTATGATTTTTGTATCTTTGATACTATGTGATGATGATGACGGAAATGGTTTTTGTGTCCTTTTTTGTTCCACTTCATTTACAAAAAATTCACAAAATTCTTCTTCCAGATCAACCCTGGAGATGTTTCAAACTCATCCGCTATTCTCAACAACATTGCTCGGTGTTCAACCACCGCTTCCACCTTCCGTCACTCTTGCCACATCCCTCCCCCTTCCAACAACAACCGCCTCACCATCGAGTCTTCTGATGACGCCACCAACAACATCGCCGCCAAATCATTTGCCATTTATTTTGGGATTTCCTAGTACATCGACGACAACATCGATTCTGATGGATACTGTGCTGGCGGCACAGCGAAAGAATCAACAGCAGATGGCGAATTTGATTATTAAGCAGGAGCAGAGAACGAGTCCACCAACTGCGACAACACCATCGATTAAGGTGGGTGGGAGGGGGATTGGGAAGTGGGAAGTGGGGAATGGGGAGATCAAGATTCTTTGGAAGCTAGGGCACAGATTTTCAATCTACAGTAGTTTAAAGCCACGTGGATTTTTTTGGCGCCAAAAATTGTCGGATTTTTCGATCTGCATATAACAATCTAATGGAATCATTTTGCAGAATGAGCAAAAAATTTTAATAAATTTTTTGAAACATAGAAAATTCTGGATTTTTTAATTTTTCATTTAAAAATTTTGAAACCTCGGATTTCTGAAAATTCAATTTTGAACTTAAAGTCTTGAGATTGTTAGGTTCAAAAAATCAGATCCGAAAATTTTTTTAGTTCCCAAAAAAAAAACACGTGGAATTTTTTGGCGCCAAAAATTTTCTGCCACGTGGATTTTTTGATCTACAATTCATAAATAATAGAATCATTTTGCAGAATGAGCAAAAAATTTTAATAAATTTTTTGAAACATAAAAAATTCTGGATTTTTAAAGGTGGAGTACGAGATAAAAATAAGTTAAATTCAAAAAATCAAATCCAAAAAAAATTCCGATTCCAATCAGCCCTAAAAAAAATTGTGCCCTAATTAGTTTCTGATTCCACTTGATCTCTCCCCCTCCTCAAAAAAATCATAGGTAAAAATAGAGTTCACACTTTTCGGGAGATTCTTGTTTCACTATGTTCATTCATTCATTGACTCTTCTTCCTCTTCAATGTGCGTAGGTGTCTTCTTTTGTCGCGCGCGCAAAAAAACGCGTTAAATATGTAATTGAATGTCGATCACTTTGGAAACCGAATGTAGATACTTGAAAGGTCGAAAAATGTTGCGATGAAGAAAAGGGATTGAAATTGTATTGTAATTTAGACCTTGATCAAAATATCCATATGCAAATCAACCAAAAAAAAGTGTTTTATTGTTGCTGCACAGGCAGGTCTTGTGATATTATGTACATATTAATGCATGTTTTGCATGTGAAAATGATAAAATTGGAAGGAAGGAGAGAAAAGAACAAAATAGAATATATTTGAATAGAAATACAATTTTCTGATTTTTTTTATGAATTGATTAGAAAATGAAAGAATCTTGTGACCTGATGAATCATGATTTTTTGAAATTTGCAAATGTTTGGTTTTCCAAAGAACGAAAAGAGGGGGACCTTTTGAGAATCTAGAATTTCAGAACTTTCAGGCGCGGCTACTAGAAAATTAGGATTTCTAGGCTCGGCTACTTGTCATAGAATCTCTCAAGGCGCAGCTCCTTGCCAGAGTGGACCTCTAGATACGGGTCCTTGAAAATGAGTTTCTAAGGCGCTGCTACTTGACAGCTAAGCTCTCTAGGCGCTGTTCCTTGACTATTGAATTTTCTAGGGGCGGATACTTGAGGACTGGGCTCTCCAGAAGCGGTTACTTAACATAGAAGCTCTAAAGGCACGGATGATCCTCAAAGTTCAGAATTGAAAATTTAGAATACAATTTTTACTTTTGCAAACCACAAAAATAGTTTGAGCCAAATTTTTCTGGAAAAAAAATCTTCACGATCCATTTTTTTTGGAAAATATACAATTTTCTCGAAGATCTAAATTTTTTCCACAGTTAATTTATTTTTACAAATTTTCACTGTTTCTAAAATTCTACAAACACCTTTCTGCCTTTTTCAAATGCAAATTCGAATTCATAATTAAAAAAATCGAAAAACCATGTTTACTCCAAAAATCCCTCGAAACACATTTGCCACTCAAAAAATTAGGTCAAAATCTCTAGTCTTGCTTCCATCAAATTTCCTCAATTATGAAAAAAGTTGCAATTTTTTGTTCTCAATCCAATTTTTTCTCATTATGCCGAGAAAAACCCTTATTCTCATAGCCAATTTCTCTCATCAACATTTCCTGCTCCTCCTCCTCCAAAAAAAGCAAATTGAGCTCATCTCATTTTTTTGTGTGTGCAAAAGCGGAGAAACATAATGTGCTACGTGTATATTGGTATTATAAAAATAATTGAATATATTTATTTATTCATCCAATTTTTCCATTTCTTCCTTCTTTGAATATTTTTCCGAAACTTTACAATTACATATTTTATTAGTTAGGTCAAACTACACACTTTTTACATATGAAAACAAATAAATAACTAAATTCATAAATTCATATTGACACCTTTTTCTAAAGGTCATTTATGTTAGATACAACAATTTGTTGTAAGTGCAAACCTAGCAATAATAATAATAATGTTTCTTTTTTCACTCACTCCTCACTCTCTATTTTATTAACCGCCTGTCTCTCATTCTCTCCTATTCTACCCCATATTTGTTCTCTCTCTCTCTCTCATTCTCTTTTTTCTATAGAGGTTTTTGGACCTTTTTTATCAAAGAAAAAATCGTTGCACTTTTCTTTTCTTCTCTTCTTTTTTTCTTCTTTTTCTATTCTGTTCAATGTTTCCGAAGTAATATTGATTATTTTTTCAAATACTCTTTTTATTTGTGTAAAATTATCAGAACAGTTTCTACTTCTTATCATAGAAAATAGAGAAACCTATTGATTTCAAATTATTTATTTTAAATATATATTTTGAAATAACATGACATACATATCTATTTAGATATCAAATTTCATTCAACCTTTGCACTTTTTTGTGTTAGTTTTTTTTCCTAGACTCGTACACATCAGCTCCAAAAAAATGTTCTCTGCATTTCCTTATCAGTTTTTGCTGAACCCTCCGACCAATTCATTCGGCTGCCTCGTTTCTATAGCACCCATTTCATTACATTTTCCCCCCAGTAGAGTATATAATATTTTATTTCATCGGTATAATCTTGCTCTTTGATTCGTCTAGTAGTAGGTTACAAAACAATAGAGCTAAACAAACTGAAAAGGTATGTTCTATCTACGAGTTGGACAAACATCAAAACATATAGCAAAAAGATGTCCTTTAGTTTCCTTTTTGTGCGAGAAAAAAGAAAGAAAAACCAAAGAATGAGCCGATTTTGAATTATTCAGCGGGTTTTGCTTTTATTTTTTTACGACGTGTTGGGAGAAAGTGCTTTTTTGTTAGTTGCTTATTTAAAATTAGAGATTTTCCTAAACTAATTGCATTTTTCGCAATCTGAAAATGCACTTTTGATCTCCAGAATCCAATTTTCGAGAAAAAATTCTAAGAAAAGCTTTGCACTTAATTATTATCTATATTATTATCTATAATCAAGATTCAAAAAAACCACAGTATTCCAATTTTCTTTTCAAAAAATCATTTTTCATTCAGTGACGTCACATGAATTTTCAAACTTTTTGGAAATATCCTGAAATTGAGCTAACTCTAGACCTCCCCACGTCAAAACTTTTTTGATCTACTGATTCTGCCACTTTTAAAAAGTGCTCTGACGTCATTTTCTCCTTTTTTTTTTACATGTCCTCAAAAAGAAGAAAAAGTGTCAAATTTCCCCCTCAAGTGCAAAAAATTATCGATTTTTTCTCTTGAAACCTTTTCCTTCTTCTTCTCCTCATTATATTTTCTCACACACTTTTTCCGGAACTTTTTCCACTTGACATGTTAATATTTTTTCGTCAACTTTTTCTTCTTCTAGTAGAGTAATAGTTGAAATGATGAAAAACGAATGGCCCTCGTTTTTCCCCCCAACACCAACTCCTTCCGCATCCAATAGTTATCCACCGTCGACTTCTGCTGCTGCTGATAATAATCAATTTAATGTGAATCCGCCGACGCTTCAGCCAAATTCGCAGCAATTTTTTAACGCTCCTCCCAGTGAGGAGAATCATTCCCCACAAATTGTGCTAAAAATCCCGAAAAGTGAACAAGAACAAGTTAATGGGGGGCAAGTTAAGGTAAATTATTGTGTTTTTTTCCCAAAAAAAAATAAATTATACATTTTCAAAAATGATTTTTTGTAGGGTGAAAGATGTGTTGGATGTGGCAGTGAATCGTCAATCCGTGTTCATTATGGTGCAAGTTCATGTCATGGTTGTAAAGCATTCTTCCGACGATCAGTTTTCGAAGGTCGACAATATATGTGTAGTTTAGATAATAATTGCGATATCACAAATGAATCCAGAAATCGCTGTCGTGCTTGTCGCCTCCGAAATTGTATTGATGGGGGGATGAATCCGAAACATGTTCGGGAAGAGAGATCGAAAATTGAGCGAATTGCACCCGGAACCACAGTTTGCACGGTGTCAGCGAATGGTGTGTCGATCAACAGCATGCCATCGACACCTGCCAGTTTCGCACCATCAAATTTGATTTCACAGCCTCCTGCGTCAGTTGAATCACACGCCTCTTCGGGAAGTGAAGCAGAAGGTGCCGATAGAAAAAATCGTGAGTTGTTCTTCTTGTTTTTCATTCCAATCTTCCAAAGATCCTATAAGATTAGGCAAATTTGTCCTATTTTTCAGTTTCGGAAAACACCTTGACACTTTTCATGTGTTCGCTGGAAAAACAAACCGAATTATTGACCGATGATGATGTGAAGAATAATGATGTTATGGGAGCTTGGAGTAGAGATATCAGCTTGACCTTTGGATTGCAACATCCACAAACAGTTATCAAAAGATTACCAGTAAGTTTGATTATTCCTAGGAAACTTCCAGCTCAGACTCTGAGCCTCAGAGAAAAATTTATTCAAAAATTTTCAGCTAAAATACACCTGTGAACGAATCATGGAAGCCAGTGATTTATATTTGAGTTGGTATCGATCATTCGTATTTTGTGCTGATTGGGCAATGGGAATTCCTGATTTCCGTGTTCTACCCCTCGCAGATCAGACAACACTATTCAAGCAAAACTTCATGGCCTTCGGTTGGATCACTTTTGCTTACAAATGTTATGAATTGGGACAATTTAACAATGGAATTCCATTGGGGAATGGAGCGTATATTCCATATAATGACGAAGAGCAGAAAAAATTGCCGGAAAGATGGGCGCAAACCTATGGAGTTGTTTGTAAAAAATTGATGGATTTGATTGTTAAAGTTATGATTGAATTGCAAATTAGTGAGGAGGAATATTGTTTGATTAAGACGATTTCGCTATTTCAACTTGGTAAGTCCCCAGAAAATTTTAATTTTCAAATTTTTATCTAAAAATATTTATAGATTGTATATTATCTGAAAGCGGCGCTGCAGTTTGCTCGAAAATGAAGGAAAGATTATTGGAAGCATTGTCAACGCATATTGAGAAACGTTTTCCACATTATAATCAGACACAAAAAACAACAAGAGCTCTCAAAATCTCATTGATGCTCCCTAGTTTTTCGGTTAGTTTTTTTCTTTGTGATCTCTAAAAACCCCTAAACTAACCGTTTTGCAGCATATTGGACAAGTCGAATCGACATTAATTCAACAATTGACAGCAGCCGATCTTCATCAATTGAGCGGAGTTCCGATGGAAATTTGCACGGCGCAACAACAAATCTAGTCAAATCAAATCACATTTCAATTTTTTAGTTCTCCTGTATCTCATATCATTTGCGGGTTTTGTATGGAAATTATTGTGGACTTCGAAATAAATAAATAATAATGTTTAGTATTTGAATGTTGCAAAAGTACAAGTATAATTGGGAATTTTTGAAGTTTCGTTGTTTTTTCGAGCCTCTTCGATATCTTTCACTGTGTTCACGCCGGTTTGCATCCAAACTGTTGAGAATCTGCAAGAATTTCGGGGGTTTTGTTTGAAAAAAATACAATTTCAAAAAAGGCAAACAACGAGACTCCGCGGATTACGGCCTGCTAAACATGCGGCAAATTTGAAATTGTAATTGGGAGTGTCGTTGTTTTCACTTTTTTTGTTTTTTTTTCTGTTTTTTTGGTCTCCGAAGGTCATTTGACTGTTTTTCTTTGTGGTTATCATAGTTAGACAATAGTGCTAACTGTTCAAAACAAGCCTAGCTTAAATTTCACCTCGGGTTATCAAGAATTCTTGAAAGTAGTTTAAATTTCGAAAAAAATCCCCAAACTCACCCATTTGTATTTCCAAACATCATATCGGTATCTAATCGATCTCCGAACATTACAGTCTTTGATGGATCGATATTTCCAGCTCTTGATTTCAAAAAATCGGCCATTGCTTTATGGGGCTTTCCAAAAACAGCTGTCGGCTTCCGCCCCGAGGCAGCCTCTATCGCAGCAATCCATGGGCCATTTTCAGGAAGAATCATATTTTTAACCGGGCCCGGAAATGTGTTATCTCCATTAGTTGGAAGAAATTCGACTTCCGGATCAGCTAGATAATTTGCGGCTTTCATTAGTTTAGCATAACTAAATTTCTCCATATTTCATATAATATAGGTTTTTTTACTCACCTAAAATGTAGATCGAAGCTCATCACAACAGCTTTAACTTTTCTCGAAATATCAACTTCATACAAAAAATCGGTGTTTGTATAATCTCTACTCAAATCTTCACCAACACCAAAACACTGAACACCTCCATCATTTTCCAGAGTATTTTTCAAACTATTAGTTCCGATTAGATAAATTGATTGTCCCGCGAAGTTCGGGTTCCTTTTGAAATAGTCAGCCAAAACGAGACCGGGATTTATGAGATTCTCCCGGGGAAGACCACCAAATCCCATTTTTCTTACTTTTTCCCTGCAAGTACATATGTAATCGAAGTTTTTCAGTGAAATCGTTCAAATAGCTTACATATATTGGTCCAGTTTTTTTGCAATTATTAGTTGTGATAAAAACAGTTTTACCCGGTGTCTTCAATAGAAAATTGATCCAATCAGCGGCTCCTGGAACCGGAACATCTCCAGTCCATAAAACACCATCTGCGTCGAATACAAAGGTGTCGAAATTTTGTAGAAGCTCATCTTTTGAAATTTCTTGCGGCATAGACATTGTTTCTCTCTGATAAAATGAAATTGAAGAGAGAGAAATGAAATGGACTCTGATGTTTGTGTCAGAGATAAAGACAAAAAATGGTGGCGAGAGATAGAGGAGGATGAACAAAGTTCACGTGAAGATTTTCTGAAATTTCATCATCACGTTTTTTTAATAAAAAAAAGATAAAAAATCTCATTTTAAGATTTACTAGTTTTGTGAAATGACAGATAATAAAAATATATTCGAATTTCCTGAAGATAAAGAAGTTGTACATTTGAAGTTATCCGATTATGACACACATTTTACTGAAAATGGTGGAAGTACAAGATCTTCAAGAACAAATGTACACAGTCCAGAAAGTCAACCGATTTGTGTCCGATTTTATGCATCAGTTTTTGGCCTAGTCTTATTTGCGGTTTCACTGTAAGATCTTCCTAATTTCAATAAGTCTCGTGAAAGTAGATTTTAAGGATGTTTTGTTCTGGAATTCGGAGTATCGCAGGTTCAATTCTGTGTATAATTATACTGTTTGTTTTTCATGAATGGAATCGATTATATGGAATGGTTTTGACTAAAACACCAAGAGCTTCGATAAATTATGCAAGTGTTCTTCGAGAACAAAAAGAGTTTATTCCGATGTATAATTTGGAATGGTTATTTGGCAAAAGATATGAGCCATACTATTTTGGATGCACTGGACCAGCTATAAATGGTGATAATTGTCGTACTCCTGATAATGAAGAATCTCATTCACCGGTTAAGAAACGAAGTTCAAATGATATTCTTCGCAAAAAACCGTGACTTCTAGATAAATGTACTTCTATCCCTTTTCTTTCCTCTTTTTTTTCTCGCTCGAGAGAAAAAAATCGATAAATATTTGAATTGTGGCCGAAGTTTTGTTTGGTGTTTTAGGCCGCGCGAAATATTTCCCGCGCGCCAAATCTAAAAAACAAAGTGTCTGCGTCTCTTGCATTATCGATTGAAAAGACGGGCGGCGTCGTTCAATTCTCTGATTCTCCAATGTTCGCGTTTCGCGTTTTTTCGAAAAAAAAACATTTCTCATTGCTAATGTTAAATTTGTTTCTTTGTTTCTTTGTTTATCAAAAAATAAATAAATAAAGAAAAAGTTAATTTTCAGAATGTCTGGAATTGCAGCATCGCGTCTTGCCGAGGAAAGAAAATCATGGAGAAAGGTGAGCATTTTCAGATATTTATTAGAAATTTAATTCAAAATACTGCATTTTTTTAGGATCATCCATTTGGATTCATTGCAAAACCCGTCAAAAATACTGATGGAACATTGAATTTGTTCAACTGGGAATGCGCGATTCCAGGACGAAAAGACACAATTTGGGAGGGAGGATTGTATAGAGTAAGGATTTTTCTTGGATTTTGTTAGATGAAAAAGAAAAAATGCAGGGTGAATGAGAGAAAATGAAGAAAGTTGAGAATGAAACGAGAAAAATACTTTTTTCTGGAAAACTAAATACAATTTATGTTTTTTTCTGGAAGGGAGGAGCTTCCAGGTGAAGAAGAAACCTTTTGAAAAATGGAAATTTAAATTTTCTCGTGAAAAGTTCACTTTTGAATTTCAAAAAAAATTTTCCAGATCCGTATGTTGTTCAAAGACGATTTCCCATCATCTCCACCAAAATGCAAATTCGAACCACCACTTTTCCATCCAAACGTCTATCCATCAGGTAAATATTCATTCTTTTCTCAAAATAAAATAAAATCTATATTTTTCTTTTCAGGAACTGTTTGTTTATCACTTCTCGACGAGAACAAGGATTGGAAGCCATCAATTTCCATCAAACAACTACTAATTGGAATTCAAGACTTGTTGAACAACCCAAATGTTGATGATCCAGCTCAAGCGGAAGCTTATCAAATTTTCTGTCAGAATAGGTTTGTTATTCTATTTTTTTTTGGGTTTGCTGGGGAGAAATTTCATTTTCGAAATTAAACAGAAATTTAATTAACGACGAGATTTTGTTATTTGAAAATGTAATAAAATTTCTCTTTTCAAAAAATGAATAACAAAATTAGGTAGCTATTCATAGAGTTTTTGTTATTGCGAGGAAAAAACCTGTTAAAAACCCCCTTCAATTTTCAGAACCGAATACGAAAAAAGAGTGAAACGAGAAGCGCAAAAATATGCGGCCGAAATTGTTCAAAAACAAATACTTGGCTGAAATCCGATAACTCCCATTTTCAACCCCCCAAAAACCTTCATTCTCTCTCCCGAAAACTTTTGAAATTCGACTTTTTTCCCGTCGAAATGTTACCGGTATTGTTTTACATCACACCATTAATTCATCTATTTATTCATCCATCTTTTTCCCCGCTTTTCTCGATTTAAAATACTTTTTGTCCTCGATTTTTAACGTTTTGATTGACCCATATGAAATATTTTTTGTTGATTCATTGAAATTTTTGAAGAAGAAGACGGAGAAGATGGCTGATTTAATGAAAGGTATCACTTTGTTGAATAAGGAATTGGAAGAAGTAAAAGCTGAAGAAGCATTGGCTGGAAAGGTATGCAATTTGAAAAATTTGAAAATAAAATTCAGAATATTTTCAGGTCGTTGCATTGTATTTTTCAGCAGGTTGGTGTCCACCGTGCAAACAATTCACTCCAAAACTTCATGTAATTATTTTATATTAATTAATTTTGATTAATTAACTAGAATGAATTTTCAGCGTCTCTACAATGCTTTGCGAAGTAATGGAAAACCATTCGAAGTGGTTTTCTTCACCCGAGATCGATCACGCGCGGATTTCGAGGAAAACTTCACTGAAAAACATGGCGATTGGCTTTCGGTCAAATTTGATGATCCGATTTTGACGTAACTTTTGATGGGAGGGGTTTCGGGACTTCGGTGTGAGACCCACTGCTTGAAAAGTGATTTTACTAGAAGCACTAGGTCTTACAGCGATTTTTGAAACACCTCAGCGTTTGCAGATGTAGCTAAATCATATTTTGAGGGTTTTCGTAGCTGAACCGTAGAAAAAACTTGAATCTCCAGCTAAATCGAACCAATAATTTAGCTCAGTGTTTCTGACCGATTTCTCAGCTAAAACACACATACGTTTTAGCTACGGTTTTTTTGGCGCGCAAACATGTTTTCTTCGTTTTGTTTTGTTTTTCGACGATTTTCGTGGCTTAAAGCCTAGAGAAATGCTGATTACATATTATATCGTCTACGCGTCAGTGTTTTATCAATGGAGAACGAGTAAGTTCATCTGAAAGTTACGTTTTACGTTGAATTTTTGCAGAAAAACAGTCAGTTTGTTGCGTTTCTCGAAAAAGTGGAAAGTGATGGTGAAATCTTCAATAAATGAGGTAATTCCAACAAATTTTTCAATATTCCACAATGTTTCTCAATTTACAGATGTCAATAACAAGAAAAAAGCTGGATGTCATGGATGTCGACCAATTTGGCTCCTGATAGGTTTTTGGGAAGTTAAACCGCCAGATGGAGTTGCAAAATGCACAAACACCACATCGTCATGTTTTGCAAGCCTATCGCCCTATTGGGAAATTGTAAATGCTGCCTTTCTATCCAATATTCGGCCGGTCCAGGATCCAGAAGCTATCAAACAACTGCGAGAAAAATAAGTGTTTCTGGTGTATAACTGACTATAATTTCATATTCTTATGTTATTGTATGTTTGAATACGAATAAATGTTTTATATTTGCAAGTTTTCTAACTACGCCAAATACAGAAAGAAACCCGCATGAGCAGTATTTCGCAATAAACAGGAAAACAGTTTTCGTAGCTAAAACATGCGTGTGTGTCTCGTAGCTAAAACAGACTTCGGTGTGTGTTTGTAGCTAAACCGCACACTGTTCGTAAATAAAACGCAAGTGTCAAGGGCTGCGATCAGTTGAGCTATGAATTAGCTACATCTGCAAGTGCTGAGACCAAATTCATTTTTTGCAGAAGATATCCACCGAAGTTTGAGGTGAAATCAATTCCGGTTTGTCGAATCATCAATTCGGCTGGAAAAATCGTCGAAATGGATGGGAAAACTATCATCACTGTGAGAAAAATCCAAATTTTCCACTTCAAAGTTTGAAGTTCAAAATATTTTTGCAGGAACATGGAAAGGAAAAAGCATTGGAATTATTCGCCAAATGGGAAGAAGCTTGTAAAAAGTAGATTTAATTTTTGATTTTTAACCGAACAGTTTTAAAATTAGCGTTTTCAGAAGCCTTCCAAAAAATAAAAATGTCCAATTTTCTGAATAATTTTTGTATTTATTTATTTTGTATCTAGTTTGCTCGCAATAAATTATTTAGTCGACGTGTTTTTACGTGAATTTTGAATTGGTTGCATTTTTCCAATCAATCATTTCTGGATTTTATTTTTTGGCGAAAATAAATTTTAAAAAATGTTGGCATCTTTGGCGGAATTTTGGGATGATATGAAGGTATTTTGGGATTTTCTGGAAGAGTTTGAAAATTTTCAGCGTATTTGATTTTCCAGAAAATTTTCCTCAAGTTCATAATTCAAGTTTTCAGCTCGAATTAATGGCATTAGGAAGTGATTATAAATTACCGCGAACGTTTCGAAAAGTTGATGAAGCGAAGCGAAAAGCTCGAGCCGAACTCACAAAATTCGGATGGGATACTTTAGGATATTCGGAGGATTTTAAGCTGCCACCAGTCAAAGACACCATTTTAAGAATCGATTGTGAAGAATTGACGGTTGATGAATTCCGCGAAAAGTATGAGAGGACAAGAACACCGATTATTATCACAGGATTGACGAAAAATTGGCAAGCTAATGAGAAATGGACGTTAGAGGTAACATAAAAATATGATTTCAAATTTTTCAGCAAAATTTTTCTTCAGAGAATCGCTCGAAAATATCGTAACCAGAAATTCAAGTGTGGCGAAGATGATGATGGATTTTCGGTGAAGTTGAAAATGAAATATTATCATGATTATATGGTGAATAATATTGACGATAGTCCACTCTATATTTTTGATTCGAGTTTTGCAGATGTGAGTTTTCAAAAGTTTCGGAAAATATTTCATATCCCTCGATCTTGCAGCGTCATAAAACTAAACAATTGCGAGAAGATTACGAAGTTCCAAAATATTTCGAAGATGATCTTTTCAATTATGCCGATTCAAAAAAGCGCCCACCACATCGATGGTTTGTTATGGGACCAGCTCGCTCTGGAACTGCTATACATATCGATCCACTTGGAACTAGCGCTTGGAACACTTTGATTCAAGGACATAAAAGATGGGTTCTTATTCCACCAAATGCTCCAAGAGATATTGTAAAACCATTGTCACATGAAAAAGGAAAACATCCGAGTGAAGGAATTACTTGGTTTAACACAGTTTATAAGCGAGTTCGAAGTCCGGGTTGGCCGCAGGAATATGCTCCGATTGAATGTATTCAGGGACCCGGAGAAACTATGTTTGTACCGGCTGGATGGTGGCATGTTGTATTGAATGAAGATCATACGATTGCAGTCACACAGAATTATTGTTCGATTGAGAATTTGCATCTGGTTTGGCCGAAAACAGTTAAAGGAAGACCGAAATTGAGTAAACATTGGTTGAAAAGGTAAATCAAGAAGAGAACCAGATTTGTCCTAATTCCGATTTCTCAGAATCACTGCCGAACGACCCGAATTACTACCGATTATTCGAGAATGTAGCGAAAATGGTATCAATGATATGAACGATTCTTCAAGCGATTCATCAAGCTCGTCTTCATCTTCTGATGATTCTTCAGATGATGATGATTCGGGATGTGATCGAGAAGATCAAGGTTCGTGCAGTGGAACAACTCGAAAACGAAAAATTAGTGGAACTATGAAATGTGAAGAACAATGTCCCGAAAAAACTAGTCGCAGTCATGAAAAAGAAAGTTGCGCATAATTTGATACTGGTATTCAAGTCTTTTTTTATTTTTTATCATTATTTAGGCAATAAATTTTTGATTTTTTCTAGAAGGGGTTTTCCCAAAAAAACACCCACACAATTTTCCCCGACATTTCGATATCATAATCAAATGATGTGAAGGATTACCGCTTATCGGAAAATTTCCTACTTAAGTCTAAAACACATGGGTCACCTCATTTTTGAAACAAAATGAAGGTTCTATTTGTCATCGCTTTGGTCACGTTGAATTCTTTGGTTTTGGCTGGAACTAACTGCGATGTTAACACTTTGCCAAAAAGTTGGGCGACAGTTCAAGCGAAAAATGTGTTCTTCAATGCTTGGCAGCCGAATAATTACATCGGAATGCCAAGTTTCTGTGTTTTGAATGATTTCTTTTCAAGATCTTTGAATTATTGGTCACATGTTAAGTTGGATTCTGCCAATTCTACAGTTCAACAGGATTCTGCGAATGCGACAGATCTTAGCAAAGATCAAATTAATTGTGGAAGTGGAAATTCGCAAGTTGTTTGGTGCAGATCTCATTGTCAAGACAAACATTTGGAATCGTTGATTATTCAAAGCGCAATTGTTAATGGAAGTCTTCCACTTGCTGTTTCACAACAAGTTTTTCAACAATTGGATAGTCCAACAGATTTAACTATTGCTGCACTTCACGTAAGTTTATTTTTAAAAATGCATAAGTTTTTAAAATTTCATAATTTTTTAGATTGATCAAAACACATTGGACATTCACGTTGATTATGACTACTATGATGATAAGAATTTCTGTTCAGTCTTCCTAAAAGTCAAAAAATCAACTCAACTTCCATATGCTTTGCTTCTCACAGCACAAAGAGTTATTTAAGTTGTTGTTCTTCTTGTTATCTCAAAATGAATGAATAAACTAATTGAAATTTCTTTTCAAACCTTCCCCAAGAAAACTAATCGAGTTTCTTTTCCTATCGTCGCTTTTTAGACACTCCTTCGCGAAGAAAAAAAAACAAAAAGAAAAAGTAAAGGCGCACGCAATTGTTTGTTGGCCGTCTCTCGCCGCGGAGAGCCAGAACCGTCGGAAATTTTTACGAGTGGCTCGATTTTTTCTTTTTTTTTCTTTTTCCGCAAAAAATCAAAGTTTTCTAATGCATCTATTCATTTGCGAAAAAAACCGAAAAAAATGTATTTTTTTACATTTTTTCTATTCACCAAAATGCACGAAATAAATGTCAATCTTGACGAGACCCACACACATTTCAAGGAGAAAAACATGCGAGAAAAAAAACAAGAAATGAAATTTTCGAAAGCATGCATTTTTCACACTCGTTGCCTTGAAATGAGTGTGGGTCTCGTCACGATTGCATGTATTTCGTGACAATTTGTGATTTTGGTGAATAGAAAAATATTGTAAAAAAATACATTTTTTTCGTGTTTTTTTGCAAATGAATAGATGCATAATAAAACTGTTATCATTGATCTTTGTCACGCGATTTTCTTCGCAAAAATAAAACCATTTTTTGAAGATTCAACATGTCTCTCAGTCGGACAAACTTGCTCAGACCGCAATTCTTCCAAGTCTTGTCACGTGGATACAGCTCGACTCAAGGTAATACTTTATATGCTTTTAAGTTGTCTTAAAATAAAATAAAATTGAAATTCAGATGCGGATCTTGTTGTCATCGGTGGTGGTCCAGGAGGATATGTTGCTGCTATTAAAGCCGCTCAACTTGGTATGAAAACAGTTTGCGTTGAGAAAAACGCAACACTCGGTGGAACATGTTTGAATGTTGGTTGTATTCCATCAAAAGCACTTTTGAACAATTCGCATTATTATCATATGGCACAACACGATTTCAAAAATCGAGGAATTGATGTCTCATCAGTTCAATTGAATTTGCCAAACATGATGGCGGCAAAAGCCAATTCTGTCAAACAATTGACCGGTGGAATCAAATCTTTGTTCAAAGCCAACAAAGTCGGACATGTTGAAGGATTCGCGACGATTGTTGGACCAAACACAGTTCAAGCCAAGAAAAATGACGGATCTGTTGAGACAATCAACGCCAGAAATATCTTAATCGCCTCCGGTTCTGAAGTCACACCATTCCCAGGAATCCAAATCGACGAACAACAAATTGTCTCATCAACTGGAGCTCTTTCCCTTTCTCAAGTTCCCAAGAAACTCGTCGTTATTGGTGCTGGAGTCATCGGTTTGGAATTGGGATCAGTTTGGCAACGATTGGGAGCTGAAGTGACGGCTGTTGAATTCTTGGGACACGTCGGTGGAATGGGAATCGATGGAGAGGTTTCGAAGAACTTCCAAAGACTTTTGACGAAACAAGGTTTCAAATTCCTTTTGAACACTAAAGTCATCGGAGCATCGAAGAATGGAGGAAATATTTCAGTCGAAGTTGAAGGAGCCAAGGATGGCAAGAAACAAACTGTAAGTTTTTAATCAGGGAACATTTTAAAAATAAAAAATAATTTTTTTATAGTTGGAATGCGACGCTTTGTTGGTCTCCGTCGGTCGTCGCCCATACACCGAAGGACTCGGTTTATCCAATGTTCAAATCGACACTGATAACAGAGGAAGAATTCCAGTCAACCAGAAATTCCAAACCAAGGTGAGCTTATTTTTTCTTTTTTTCTCAAAAAAAAATGATTTTTCCCTAGGTCCCATCAATTTACGCGATTGGTGACGTCATTGAAGGTCCAATGCTTGCACACAAAGCTGAAGATGAGGGAATTTTGGCGGTTGAAGGAATCGCTGGTGGACCAGTTCATATCGATTATAATTGTATTCCATCTGTTGTTTACACACATCCTGAAATCGCTTGGGTTGGAAAAGCTGAAGAGCAATTGAAGCAAGAGGTAATTTTTCATTTGCTAATGGGCCTATGCAAAATATTATCGAAAATCTCATCGGTACCACGCGCTCCACTGATATAAACACGCAGCGCAGACCGCGCCGCGCCACAACACACACAAATCGAGGAATGATTCAAATTCCCTCCCTTTTTTGTGTGTGTTGTAGCGCGGCGCGGTTGGCGTTGCGTGTTTATTTCGGTGGAGCGCATGGTACCGATGAGATTTTCGATAATAATATTTTGTAATAAAAAAAACATATTTTCCTATGCAGAAAAACGTCGAAAAAACAAAATATACAGTTTATTATTTTTGAGTAGAGAAAATGTGAAATTGAGAGAAAACAGACAGAAAAATTAGTTTTTTTTGTGCGAAAAATCAATTTGTCTGCCTGCACTCTCTCAATTTCACGTTGTCTCTACTCAAAAATAATAAACTGTATATTTTGTTTTTGACCCATTATGTGCTCAAAAAAATTAAATTTTTAATTTAAAAAAATCCCCTGTAGTTTTTTTTCACGTTGTTTTTCTATAAAAAATTGACCAAATTAACCTCATTCAAAACTAGTTCAATTAAGACCAAAACACATTATTACAGAACATCGCCTACAAAGTTGGTAAATTCCCATTCGTCGCCAACTCACGTGCCAAAACCAATAATGATCAAGAAGGATTTGTGAAAGTTTTATCAGACAAACAAACCGATCGATTGCTTGGTGTACATATTATTGGACCAGTAAGCATTTGTTGAATCAAACATGTGAAATCTAAAATTTTTTTTTGTAGAACGCTGGAGAAATGATCGCCGAAGCCACATTAGCCCTTGAATATGGAGCATCAGCTGAAGATGTTGCTCGAGTTTGTCATCCACATCCAGTGAGTTTTTTTATTGGGAAAAGTCACGTTTTGAAAAAAAATTTATTTGAAAAAACGTGTTTTCATTTTTAGTTTCTTGGCTAAAAAATCTTCCTTTGCAGTTTTTTTTTCAATTTTCAAAACTTTTTCAATCCAAACTTATCGAAAAACAAAAATTCCCATCAGAAAAATAAAAAGGGAAGGTCTTTTTTCTCGCAATAAAAATTTTGGATGAACTGATAATAAAATGTGGTTGATCTGAACGGGAAAGATCGACCCGAAACCAAAGTTTGAGTGGAATTTAATTTGACAGATAAGATTTTTGGTGATTTTCTGTGAACGGAAATAGCCGGAAATTTAGGTAGAAGGTTGAGATTAATATTTGAAAATTTGGATAACGAAAGAAATTTTGAGAAAAAAATTAACTTTTTCTTCTCCAGTAAATTTGGAAAATGTTGGATTTTTAGAAAATTGGAGATTATTTTTTTTAAAGAAAAAGTTGTATGTAACATTTGTCTCAAACTTTATTTTGTGATCCAAATATTCAAAAAATCAATATCAAAACCTTTATCTCAACATCCCACTCAAATTTCCGGCTATTTTTATCCGTCCACAAAAAAAATCACCCAAAAATCTTATCTGTCAAATTAAATTCCACTCAAACTTCGGTTTCGGGTCGATCTTCTCCGTTCAGATCAACCAAATTTTATTATCAGTTCATCCAAAATTTTTATTGCGAGAAAAAAGACCTTCCCTTTTTTACTTTTGCCTTGATCTGAAACCTGTTGGGACAACCCGATGGAAATTGTTGTTGTTTTCTTTTTTTCTAAATTTCCGACGACCGAATTGATAGATTGAATAGAAAAAAACGTTGATAAGAGAGAAATGTGTTGTAAAAATTTCAACTTGAAATAATTTCAATCATGTGTTTTTCAGACATTATCTGAAGCCTTCAGAGAAGCAAACTTGGCCGCATATTGTGGAAAAGCTATCAATTCAATTTAAATTTTTTGAAGATTTTATAATATCGTTCCGGTAATTATTTTTTCTTTTTTTGTTTTCATTTTCTTCCTTCCCCATTTTTCTTTACAGTTAGTCATGTTTTTCTTTTTTGTGTATGTAGGAAATGAAATAACGAATAGATTTAAAAATCAAGGTCTTCTCTTTTCTAAAATGAAAATATCTTGACCTGAACCTAAAACCAAGATTCAAACAAGATTTATTTGGTTGATTCTGATGTTACCTGATCCAAAAAACATAAATCTTAATTGTTCCTTGTTTCTTTTTTATTTCCTTCAATCATATTCTCGCCACTCTTAAACCAGTCTTTTTTTCGACCTTCATCGAAGGTCTCAATTATTACATAGATATATTTGCTTGCATACATACACATACTTATTCAAATTCACCCCCTGTTGTGTTTTTTTCTTTTTTTTTTTTTTTGGTATTTTTGGGGTCGGACGATGGAAAACAAGGGCGGCGCCGGTAAAATCGACAAAAAACTGGTACCTAATTCGACTCGTCGTGTTCATTTTGCCTTTTTTTCTTTTCAACACAAAAAATTTCGTCGTTTTTCAACTTCCACTGTAAATAATTGACTTTTCAGAATGAGTTTTTCGAATTTATTCATAATTTTTATTGTGTTCTCGAAAACGTATGCGGAAATTTTCATGAATTCCACGGGATGCGGGACAACAAAAATCTGCTTGTTCAAACCGCGCGGATGTAATCCGAATATGGATTGTACGACTGGAGTGATATTGGAAGTTGTTGGGGAGAATCAGATGAAGGTTCAGATGGTGGCTGCGGTGAGTTTTTTTTGGGATTTCATGAGAAAAAATGGCGTTTTCACGTAGAAAAACGTGAAAAACTGAAATCGCTGCGAGACCTCACTCTTTCGAAAAATGTGTGCGTCTTTGATTTGGTCAGAATTTGATTTTCAGCCCATAACTTTTTTGAGAATGCGTTTCAGAAACAAGTAAATAGTTTTCCTGGCTCATCTCGACGAGACGATTCAGATGGTATATTCAGATTTCTCTGAAAATGCCCCTAACATGGCGAAAATGCTCTGAAATCACTATCTAGTGTGTAAACACCGCGACGCACAAATGCACAAATTGCGTACCGTAGTTTCAAATTTTCTCGAAATCAAGAAATTTTTGTGAAAATTTCAAATGTTTCCAGACAATAGTTCCACCGGTTCAACAGCAATATGTTGCGATCGCATTTTCCGATGATCAACAAATGGTATGTCAATTTATTATTTTCCACACCTCGACCTTTTGTTGATTATTACAACCACAAGATGTTCGATCATCGAACGCTTCTTCTCAAAATTTTTCTTTCCAGGGCAATGATTCGGTGACAGAATGCGTCATAAGTAATATGGGAGAATTCGTGGGATACGAGCCCGAAGTCTATCTGTCCTACAACAAGGGAAAATCGAATGATCGTGTATTTTTGAACGACGACGAACATCAAGAAATGTTCAAAGATTTGGCGGGAGAAGTGATTGATAGTCGGATGGTTTGCGAATTCACGCAGCAAATAATTCCACAAATTGACAATAAGAATGGATTGGTTTGGAGTTTGAAGGGCGATTTTTATGTGATGGCGGCGACTGGGTCTGCACAACCTGATGGTGAGCAAAAAACAATTTTTTTTTCAAGTTCAAGGTTTTTTTTAGAAGTAAACGCTCATGAGATGAATCGTCAATCACATTTCTTCCCAATCACATCTGAGAAAACTTTCGATCTAACTAAATTCGGAAACTTTGATCATCCAACCGCTTTTGTCTCGAAACTCAACACAAATCGCATTGAGAAACATCCACTTCGAACAACCACTTCAGAACCCGAACAAAATGTGGTCTCGCGACTTTTGACGTCGCCAATCATCGCCTTGTTTTCCATCGTTTTCTTCTTTTGATTAACCGATTGCTAATTTGAAAAGTTCAAGTTTTTGAAGACGGGTAAATTTGAAATGAAAATGAAATCATTTATTTAATTAATTTTTCTAGTTAGAGGAAGTTGACTGAAAATTAATCTTACTTCAAGTAAACACAAGTTACATAAACTTGATTTTTAGCGCATCCAACCGCGATGATATTGTTTAGATACACCTTAAAAATTTCAATAATTATTAAATTAAACTAAAAATCTCACATTTTCCAATTTCGCTCCATTTTTCAGATGAGTTTTCAGTGCAAACGGGTTCTAGAAAAATCCGAATTTTTTTTCACTGACACGAGATTTCAGAATAAAAACTTACTATCGCTTCATCTTGAAACCTGAAAGTATCCTCCTTAATTTTCTCACCAAATCCACTTTCATATCCATTTTCAGTGAATGATAAAATCGCCAAATTTTCCAGATAATCCCACCAAAACTGAATTGGCGCAAGTGATTCAGATTTTCGTAATTCATTGAAATCTTTGAAAATCGTTGTTTTCAAGTCTTCGTTTAGTCTTCTTTGAGATATCACAAAGCTGAAAAACCACGTGGCAATGATGATAAAATGAATTCGCATTTATGAAATTTCGAAATGAGAGAAAAATTCCACGTTTTTTCACGTGTGGACTATTTTTAAATTAAATAATTTGGAAAAATCAGATAAGATCATAAAAATGTTAGAAGACAAAAAAGAAGAAGAGGAGATGAATCTCAGTTTGAAACGTCACAAATCTCTGGAGATTTGGTGGGGCACACACCATATATACAACACACACACACATACACGCCTAAAGTCAATATCAAATAGGCTTCCTCAAGAAAGAGTTTTTCCATGTTTTTTTTTGTTTTTGGTTGGTTTCGAAGATCTTTTCTCTCGCCTTCCTATTTTTAGTTTTTATTGGGTTTTTCAGAGAAAGTTGGGAATGAACAAAAGTTCAATGTTTTGGGGTTGAACTTCTGAAAATTTTGAACTTCCAGTTTTTAGGTTTCAGGTTTCAGAAGAACCAATGGAAATCTGAAAATGTAATTTATAAGATCTAGTTTTTTGAAGATCTGAAAAATAGGATACGGTAAATATTCTAGATTCTGAAGTTTCAAGAGTTCTGAAATTTTTATCCCAGCTCTAGAATTCTTAAACTTTGGAGCATATTTTCTTGTGCTCAGAATGCTCTTCAGAACCTCGATTTTAAAACTCCAGAATTATTTCAGCTCAAGACTAAGCTGCGATTTTCAGAAAAGAATTTATTGGAACTTTTTCGTAAAACGATTCATAATTTATAAATTAATTTGAAACTTGACCAGAAAATACTACTTTTTTTGAAAACATTCTCCAAAACTTCAGCAATTTCTAACAATGTGATAAAATTTTCATATCAATCTTTTAGTCTCCCAATTTTTCACCCAAATCCAAATCTCCAATGAACTTTTGAAACTCCATTTCCATTTCGATTCGAATCCGATCTCCAGGGACCAATTTCCAACCCCAACTCAATACATTTCTGTGTCGTCATTCTACCTAACTCACCTGAAAAATCTTCTCAAATTACACTCCTCATTTTTTGTCTCCTGCACGCCCAAAAAGTTTCCAATTTCTCCTCAATTTTCTAAAATTGCCTTTTTTTCTGTCTTCTTTCATCAAAGAAAGCAACATTTTTGTGTGTGTGGAATCAACACAAAACAGCAAAATTCGATTTTCCGCCCCATCAATAATTCGATTAGGCCACGCCTTTTTCTCGTTTTTTTTTCGCGGGATGATAAATTAGCTTTTCGTCAGTCAGTCAAACTAAGAAAAAAAAGAAGAAAAAGCTCATTTTTGACCCCACCAATTTGGCAGAAAAAAACCCATTTATCTCATAAACTTCTTTTTTTTGGGCTTTGAATTAGGATGAGCAAAAAAGCTTTTAGCGGTGTTCCGAATATATTAAAACGTAGATCAGGGAACCGATTGTCTAGGACTCGCGCCTTGTCTAGAATTCCCTTTGACAAGGAGCCATGCCTTGAGAGCCACTGTAAATAGGCACGGCGCCTTGAAAGCCTCTATGACAAGTAGCAGTGCCTAGGAAACCTGATTGTCTAGGGCTCGCGCCTAGAGAACCACTTTGCTAGGAGTCTTGTCTAGAATTTCCCCTGACAAGAGGCCGCACCTTGTAAGCCTCTATGGCAAGTAGAAGCGCCTAGAGATCCTGATTGTCTAGGGTTCGCGCCTTGTCTAGAATTTTCCTCTGGCAAGGAGTCACGCCTTGAAAAACACCGTGGCTAGGTACGGCGCCTTGAAATCGTCTATGAGAAGTAGCAGCGCCTAGAGATCCTGATTGTCTAGGGTTCGCGCCTTGTCTAGAATTTTCCTCTGGCAAGGAGTCACGCCTTGAAAGCCTCTATGACAAGTAGCAGCGCCTAGAGACCCTATTTGTCTAGGACTTGCGTCTTGTCTAGGAGCCTTGTCTAGAACTTTCCTCTGTCAAGGAGCCACGCCTTGAAAAGCCCCGTGGCTAGGTACGGCGCCTTGAAATCCTTTATGATAAGCAGCCACGCCTAGGGAACCTGATTGTCTAGGGTTCACGCCTAGAGAAACTGATTTTCTAGAACCCGCGCCTAGTGGACCACTTTGCTAGGAGTGTTGTCTAGAATTTCTCTCTGACAAGGAGCCGCGCCTTGAAAAGCGCCGTGTCTAGGACCCGCGCCTAGAGAACCTGATTGTCTAGGGCTCGCGCTTGTCTAAGAGCCTTGTCTAGGAGTACTGTCTAGAATTATCCTCTGGCAAGGAGCCACGCCTTGAAAAGCCATGTGGCTAGGATTTGCGCCTAGAGAACCACTTTACAAGGAGTCCTGTCTAGATTTTCCCTCTGACAAGGAGCCACGCCTTGAAAAGCCCCTTGGCTAGGTACGGCGCCTTGAAAGCCTCTATGACAAGTAACTAGGCCTTGGCACGTCCATAAAGTGTCTAACCACAAAACCCCATTGAACTTTTTTTAAGGCTTTCAGGATGAGCACAGCAAAAAAATGCTTTTAGCGGTGTTCCGATTTTTTTCCAATTATATAGTGAATAAAAGCTTTCACCAATTTCTTAATGAAAATTTTTCCGAACGAAGAAAAAAAAAATCTGGCCTCGGCGTTTCCATTTTTTATTTGAAAAAAAGTTGATGAAAAATCTGGAGCATTACACAACTTTTTGTTGATATTACACAACAAATGATTGACAAATTGTTGTCAAATTTCTTGCTTACCGCTCTCGCCAAAAATTCCTGCGTGCCTGCGTGCGCCTTTAAAAAAATTTGCATAAATGATTGATGAGCCATATTGAGAGAGATATGTTGCCGCGTTTTTTTTGTGTGCTCTTTCATTTTTTCCCGCCATTTTTTCTTCGGAAAAGTCGACACCTCTCATCATTTTTTTACACACAGAACACACCTGACACGATTTTTGAGTCCCTAAAACTTTTAATGTTTTCAGGTGGCGAGAGTTATAGTAGGTACAGGAATAATTTCATCAAAAAGATCTAGGAACAATTGAAATCAACGCCACCGATGACATAATGAGACGGAAATATGAAGGTGGGTAATCCAATATTTTTATTTTTATTTTCGTTTTTTTGCTTCTTGGAAAAAAGGGTGAAAATCATGGCACTCGAACATTTGAGTGCTCTTATTGCGTTTTTTTCTAATATTTTTTGAATATTCGGAATTCTTCTGGAGAGAAGATGGAGGAATTTATAACGGTATTTGAAATTTAAAAAAATATTTTTTTGGTAGAAATTCTAAAAAAAAATTTACACAGAATTTTTAGGCTCTGAAAACCCATTTTTTCCTGAACTTCTTGAGCTTACCAAGAATTTTACAGGTTATTTTTTCGCCTAAAAATTTCGAATTGAAATCCTGACTCTCTTTTCAACAGAAATGTTGACGCTTTTTTGGGACATTTTCGAATGAAGATTTTCGATCGAAAATTACATTAGAGAAAACAGCTTGCGGTGGGACTCGAACCCACCAAAATGACCACACGCATTGCTTGGCAGTCCGACGCCTACCCGACTGCGCTAAGGATGCAGACAGAAAACAATTCGCGTATTATCAGGATATGAAAGGAGGAGGCAGAGAAAAGGGGGAGAGGAGTGAATATCGGGAGAAATGTGTTGCATTGTGGGATTTTTAGAAAAAGTTGATTTTTGGATAATAATCCTAATAAATTACTAACATAAATTTATGAAACTTAAAATTCTAAATTTCCAACCTTCCACTACCACCCAAATGAAGTCTAACCTCTTCCTATCCACCCTAAAAACCCGCTCCCTCCTTCCAGGTCGAATATTTCGAAGTGACACTTGATAGAGGCATCGATGAACCCTATCTTGGCGGTGATCCAATCAAAGGTGTCATCGAAATGATTTGTTCGAAACAAGTGAAAATCACGGGTCTTGTGGTGCGATTGACTGGCGTTGCTGAAACTGGTTGGCGAAGTCGACAAGATGAGTTGCCCTATGAGAGTAGAAGCACATTTATGGATGAGAGAATCGATTTGACAACGTGAGTCAATTTTTTTGTAGCTTGGACACTTGGATCTCTTGAGAGCGAAGAAGTCTATGTATTCAGAAAATCTATCAATTCTAGATCAATCGCTGAACATTGCTCAGATGAGTTCGAACTACAAGAAGGCAAGCATAGCATCGAATTCGAGGGCAAAATTCCATTAGATGTTCTCTCGTCTGTCGAACGCGAAAATCATGGAAGTATTCGATATACTTGCACAGCACTTATGGCAATTCCAGAAGACGGTGATACAGAACTGGTTTCCGAGAAGACGTTCAAAGTTTTTTCGCTATTAAATTTAGACGCACCTTATTTACGTGATAAATCGCATGTTACGGAGGAACAAGATGTTTGTTAGATCTGGGATTTCAAAAAAAACAAAAAAAAATTTTGTTCCAGATAACGGGTTGTTGTGGTCGTCGGCGTGGATCGCTGGTGGCGACGATGCAAATCGATGAGATTGGTGTGATGCCTGGGCAAACATCGAAGATTAGTATAACTGTGGAGAATAAGACGAAGAAGAGGAGGAGATGGCGGAAGAAAAAGGTGAGTTTGCAGTAGAGCGCGGTTGCTCAACTAGAGAGAGCACGACCATACAAGGCGCCCGTTGAGTCAGACGCGAGACGACGAGAGTATTTTGCAAAAATATCTCGAAAATGAATTTCGCTTCGAGATATTTTCAATAAAACATGTGTTCCTTGAAACAAAATACGATATATTTTCAAAGGGACACATATTTTCTCAAAAATATCTCTTTCTCTGTCTCAGATGACGTCATCAGACTCCCGTCGTCTCTCGTCTGACCCGAGGGGCAATTTTCTATTGGAGGAAATAGTCGTGAGAGGTTTTTGAATTTCACGGCCTTTCAGAAATAAGGAATTTGAGAGAGACGCAGAGAAAGAAACGCAAAATCCTAAAATAAAAATAAAAGCCAAATTCATTTGCAGTTCGACTCTTCGTTTCGAGACCAAGCGCGGGAAACATGTTTTTCAAATTTTTTCGAATTCAAAAACTTTTCCCGCAGTTGGTTTCGAAACAATAGATCAAATTTGAAAAATAGAATTTGAAGTAATTTTAAAGGCGGTCAGACAGCTATTCTCCGGTTGACGGAGACCACCCACGAAGCCTCTGACTTTAACCGGGCTAAACTTGAACCAAACAAAAGATAGAGATGAAATATTGTGAAAATATGAAACTTCAAATCTTCCTGTGCAAAAGTGCGGCGCGGTGTTTGCACACACACAAATCCGCTGGACGTGGGGGCAATTTGAAATTTTGAAAACACAAGATTTTCTCAGCTCGTATTAACTTTCATGATTTCGGAATTTTTTCACTGGTTCGTTTCATGATAAACTATTCTTGACACTAAACTTTGAGGAAAACCGGAATAATTGTCTAACTGCCTTTAAAAATCGCTAACTTCAAAATAATGCTTCTCAAGCAAACAAGCATCATTTTCAATATTCAAAATCCAAATCCAAATCCCAATATTTTTAGGATGGTCATGAATGTGTTCTCCTAAGTCTCTGCCAACAACTCGATTTCGTAGCCGTCAATCGCTATGATCCAATGCTCGTCGATCATAAATCAATAACAATAGCCGTCGAAAGTCACGGAACATGCAAAACAAAAGCCGGTGCCGGTCCACAAACCAAAGAAATCGAATTCAGTGTTCCCACGAATCTCCCGCCAACATCAATTCACGCCAATCGAATCGTCACCATATCCTATTTTTTCAAATTAGACCTCGACCATTTTGATCTTGTTCTTCCAGTTATTGTGGGCAGCACGAAAACTCCCGGTGTTATTGAGTAATTTTTTTTTTGAATTCGGGTTTTCTAGATTTGAATTTATTATTTTTATTTTTAAAATTTTGATTTATTTTTTTTTCAAAATTTTTTATTTATTTATTATTTATTTTTGCGTGATGTCTTTCTTTTTTTATCCAGAAAAAAAAATAAATTTTTATTTTTTATTTCTCGATTCAAATTTTCTACTAACCAAAATGTCCACTGACTCATATCTAACTGATCTACCGTATTATTCTGGAATCTATCGAGAATGCACATATCGCGATGAGACCCAAACGAAATCGATTGTCAAAAAAATCAATATCAAAATTTTTGGCACCAAACAACAATCATAAATATTTTCGGGTTAGTTTTGTGTAATAAAAATTCATCTGAACCACATGTTCTCGAAAAAGTATCAATGAAATTTCGAATTTTGCTCGCACATTTTTTTTTATTTCGCGTGGGAGCCTGAAACAATATGATATTTGAAATTGAGTAAATATTTGAGTTTCCGCAGAGAAAAAAAATAGAAAGATATTTGGGGGGATGAGGGAAAAAAGAAGACAAGGGATCAAGTAACTGGTTGGCGGGTTGGAATTTTTTGAGATTTGAAATGACAGAGATGAAGGTTTGGAGTTTTCATTTCTGAAAATTGAAATCTTTTGGGTTCGGGTTTCATTCAAAATTATTTTTAATTTCAAAAAATCTGGAGATTTTTCAAAAAGTTCTTCTGGGTTTGAGTTTTTTCATTATAATCCACCCCAGCCAAATTAAGTAAGTATCATGAAATTTCTTCTGACTTAGGCTAACTCGCAGACTAGAAAAAAGTGGTCACATTTACCTACATGAAGTTTAAGGTGCACCTTAATTTAGACTTAGGCTAAGTTTATTTGAATTTTTTCCAAGTTTTGTCCCTTGCGATTTGATTAGGGCTATGCTTAGGCTTGAAAAAAAAATTGAAAAAAAAGTTTGCCTCGGAGCGGGATCGAACCCATGACCTAAAATTTAAGAGACGTGCGCGTTTACCACTCGGCTACGCGCTCCTGTTTTTCCTCGCTGCAAATGTTTGATATATGAAACGAAGAAAAAAATGGTGATTTTTTGATGGCGCAAAACACCATTTGGGTGCACTTGTGGCGAAATCACACAGAATCTTCTGAATGATTTCATCATTCTCCGAAACTCTTTTGTGAACTCTAATCCTGATTTCAAAATCCTCCAATCTTATTCATCGATTTCTTCTCGAAATTTAAAATTTCGCAATAAAAAGTGTAAAAAAAAGTTATTTGTGTTCTTCGGCTCCCGTGCTCATCCAGTCAGTTTAAAAACATTTCTCTCTCTCTCTCTCTCTCAATCCCATTTTTCTTTGCCAGCTCCAAATTCCGTTTCAAACCACCCCCCAATAATAATTATCTATTTTTCTTATTGGTTTGCTCTTGCGCATCACTTTTTTCTGCGCTTGCTCTGATCAAATCCAGTAAATGAAGAAGAAGAAGAGCAAAGAGGATGTTGCCTGCCTCCACCCACAATACACAAAAAATCTATCCGCTAGGAACAAAAAAAGATATAGTGTAAAGCCCTTTGCGCGCATTTGTTTCTCTAGAATCTCTCGATTTTCTATGCTATTTTCGCGGGTTCCCGAGAGTTGGATGAAAATGCAAATGGATTGACTCATTTGTGCTCAATTTTCGTTCTGGTTTTCGTTATTTTTCATCAATGAAAATTTTTTTTCTGAAAGTTTCATATGTTTTTTTTTTCTGGAATTTTTGTTGTTTCTAAAAAATGTGAATCATAGAAAAAATAATAAAATTTCAAAACTAATTTTTAAATTTCGAAGAAAAATCGACATGTGGAACTTCTAGAAAATCTATTTTTCAACAGCTGTTATTGATGACCAACACCCCCTCAACTTTTTGTTTTTTATTATTCGAAAAAGTTATTTTTCTCAACAAAACTGGGATTTTCAGAAAATCAAAGAATCATGACTGAAGAAGAAGATCCATACGCACTTTCCTCATCGGAATCAGAAGATGATGGTCCAAAAAGACCGATTAAAATTGAGGGAAGAAGTGGAGATTTGAAACAACTTGTGAGTTTTTGGAACTTTTTTTTTTGAAATTTTGAAATTTAGTATGAGCACAGGTCCAAATTTTGAATTTGAAATAAATTTGAAAAAATATTTTAATTTTAGAGAGAAGCTTTGTCTGAAACGGTTGGTTTTTATAATTTTTCCCTGAATCCACTTCTATACTAACAGAAAATCCTTCAAACATCAAATTTACCTAATTTTTTGGAATCTAATCCTCAATTTTCTAAGATTCCAAAAAAGTTCCCATCTCAATCTCCAAACTCCAAATCATTCTTTCAAAAAATGTCTTCAGAAATCTGCACTTTTCGAAAACCGTGGTCCCGTAAAAGATGAAGCTCGCGAAGAAGAATTAGCCGCCTTAAAACAATCAAAAGAATTGAATAAAATGAAAAAGGATTTTGAAGCTGGAACTGTTCATAACATCGAGAACGAAGAAGATGAAGCTGCAAAAATCGCGAGACTTGAAGAACGTCAAAAATTGACTGAAATTGGAAAAGAGAAATATTCAAAGTTCAAGACGAAATTTGAAAATATCGAAGATGATTTGGAAAATCGATTGAAACAAATCAAACGGGAAGAGATTGGAGGGCTTGGAAAAGAAACATTGGCATCGGCGAAGGAACGGTGAGTCATATTTTGAACAATTTTCGAAAACAAATCCAACATTTTATCATTTTTCATTTTTTTAAAACCATTTTTCATGTGAAAGTGAAAATGTTGGTTTCAAAGATGGTTTTCCTGTAAGAAAATATGAACCATATTTCTAATTACCCCCCGAAAAAAATGTTCCAGATTCGAGAAAGGCGAAAGCGACATAATCGTCGAAAAAACTCAAGTAGACATTGAGAGAAGCGCGGATTTGTCGAAGATGAAGGCGGCGTTCCAAGAGAAACCGGCCGAGGAGAAGAAGAACTGTTGTATTTGTGACAAAGTTGTGTATCCGGTTGAAAAGGTGGTGGCGAATAAGAATTTGTATCATATCAACTGTTTCAAGTGTTGTAAATGTGCCAAGAAATTGACGTGAGTTAGAAGGGTTTTGAAAAAAATCCTGATTTTTCGGAATCTCCAAATGTTTGGAAATTTTGCCACGTGGCATTTTTTCAAATTTCGAAACTTCTTGCTAGACTCTCTAGACGGTGATTCTGTCAATGTGGATCTATAGGCTGCGCTACTTGCCAGCTAGAATTTCAAGGCTCGGTTCCTTGACAATAAGACCCGCTCTAGGCGCGACTACTTCAGAGCTAGAGTCTCTAGACGGTGATTCTTGTCAATGTGGATCTATAGGCTACGCTACTTGCCAGCTAGCATTTCAAGGCTCGGTTCCTTGACAATAAGACCCACTCTAGGCGCGGCTACTTGAGAACTAGGGTTTCTAGGAGCGGCTTCTTGTCAAAGTGAATATCTAGTTCCATTCAGAACAAGCTAAGGTTCAGAATTAGCCTTGGATTAAAAAAAAATAAACAAATTCCCCGCTCAGAGCTCAAAATTAACCTGAAAAATCATCCTGAATTTTTCAGACCAACTAACTTCAACTCCCACGAGGGAAAACTTCTCTGCAAAGTTCACATGCTCGAAGTTTTCCATCCAGAATTGGCAAAAACCATGGATCCAGCTAATACAGAAGGTAAGCAATCAAAATTCCAAAAATAGTTAGTTTTCACATAGCGCAGGTATTCAAAACATAACATAAGTGTTTATTTATTGATAATACATAAATCTGAAGTGTACGTACGTAGATCAAACAAGTTTTGTTTTTCTAGAAGACGAACGAGGTGGTAATGGTGGATCAGATGAAGAAGAAGAGTTCGCCGTGTCAAGCAAACCCAAACAACTTCAAGGTGTTGTGAAATGTGAGTAGAATTTCCTAACAAAATTAGGTCAGATATTCCCGTTATCTCAATTAATTTTGTTTTGCAAAATCGCTATTGTTGTTGTTGTTCCCTGTGGCAGAAAGAGAAAGTTTCAAAAATTAAAAAAAAAAAAATTTTGCAAAACACAAGACATAGCAAAACTTTTTGTTTATAATATAAGTATGCTCATTCAAAAGACTCATCTTTTTATTCTTCTTCCAACTTTCATATTATTATTCATATAATAATAAATAATAGTATAATATAATAACAAATATATATACAAAGAGTGAGGCTTTGTCGTCTGCGTCTCTCTCTTTCTCTCTCTCTCGCTCTCTGCGCGCGCACAGATTTCGAACGAACCTCAGTTAGTTCACACCCCCAAACACCCTATATCATCATCATTATTATTATTCATATTCATATAATACACTAATAAATAATCTTCACCGGAATGGTTTCAGCCGGCGGCGGAGGAACTGTTCACGATGAGTTGGCAGCGATTAAATCGTTGAAGGACAAGAAGGGTGATTTCGAGTCGTCGTGTCGCGAGGCAAACAATGAAGCGAAAAAGACACAGGTTTGTTGTTTCACTCAAAGAATTCTTGTTTTTGGGGCAACTTTTGCCGGATTTCTTGTTAGCGAAACTTGAGCCAAAACACTATTCAATTCTTTAAAATCTCCCAAACAAATTCCTTAAAACCGGTTAGCTGCACGAATTAATGAAAAAGATAATGATCTTGTGTTTTACAGATCGACAAAGATTTGTTGGCAGCCGGGAAAGTCAAGGCGAATGCTGAAAGGTTGGTGGGGCGAAAAACAGAGGCATCAGAGGAAATCTGAATTTTTTCAAAATTTATTTTTAAAATCACACAGCTTTTTTGAAAATTTGAAAATTTTTCTGAAGGTTCCAGATTTTATGAAACGGAGAATCTGGAAAGTTTTCGAATTCTGAAAATTTTGAATTTCAGATTTTATAATGCTAGACTTTGTTGAGATTCTTGAGAAAGTTACTGTGGATTTTTGGCGCCATAAAATTCCACGTGGCACGATTTTTAAAATTTTAAATTTTCGCGCTAGCATCTACAGTAATTTAGCCTAGCCAAACTCAGTTTTAAAATGATCCAAATTTTGTCGCTAAAAATGCCACGTGGCATGATTTTTGAGTTTTCGGATTTTGGCGCTAGCATCTACTGTAATTTAGCCTAAGGCATATTTGGTTTCAAAATGATCCAATTTTTTTTGCTAAAAAAAACCACGTGGCACAATTTTTAAATTTTCAAATTTCGGCCCAAAATTCTACAGTACCTTTGTATTTCAGGCAAATTTTGTCTTAAAATGATCCAAATTTTGGCGCCATAAAATTCCACGTGGCATGATTTTTGAGTTTTCGGATTTTGGCGCGAAAATTTACAGTATCTTAGCCTAATCATATTTAGTTTTGAAATGATCCAAATTTTGGTTCCAAAAATGCCACGTGGCATATTTTTTGAATTTTCGAATTTTGGCCCAAAATTCTACAGTAATCCTACTCATATTTCGCCCTAAAACGCGGTAAAACTTAGCAGAAATATTTTTTTTACAAAATTAATTATTCAAAATTTTTGGTTCCGGTTCCACCTGATCCCTAAAATTCTCAGACCAAGTTCAAATATTCTCCGATAAAATAAATATTTTTCTGATAAACCCGTAAATTATCAACATGCTTGATTGTTGATTTATTTTTAGGCTTAATAAACTATTTATCAGTAGTGCACACCCAAATCAAATCAAAATTACGTCACACAAAAAATGAATCAAAATTTCGATGCCACAAAAGTTCATTTCTTGGAAAAATATTTAATTATAGATTTGTATCTGGCGCGGCTCTCGAAGAAAACAGCGATGATGAAAGTGAAAGTGTAGATCGTGATCCATCAATTATCAGAAACTCGAAGAAAACCAAGAAAGATGATTTGAAATTCGAAAATGTTGGAGATATCAAAAATAAGTGGAAGGAGGGAAATGTTGAGACTGCTGAGACAAAAGAAGCTGAAGAGAGAAAGGAACTTGAAGCTTTGAAGGTATGTAGGGCTGGACTTTGGGAATTGGGCCCAAATCCATAGGCTCAAACTTTTAAAAACTTTTTCTGGTAGATCAAAAATATATTTCTCTGCATCTCAAGTCGGAAAATGATTTCTATTCTAATTTTTTTCGAAATTTCAGGGTGGTGTTTCTGTGAAAGATCGATTCAAAGAGCGCAGCGAAACCGAAGATCAAAATGTTGTTGAAAGAAGTTGGAACAAGGATGAACTCAACACATCAGGTTTGTCTATGTTCTCATCATTTTTGCAATATTGTATTATCAACGATGAAAAATGTGGAAGCTCGTAAATAGAAAATTAGCGCCGATGAAAAAAATAATTCAATGTTTCTGGAGCGTTGAAAGCGCTGCGTGAAAGCGTTGCGGTTGGAAAACAAAAATATTTTGAATTTTCATGGAATTGATCAATGAAAATTTTTGATCTACTCTCCCATGTGTCTAAATCTCTCAAAACGACTCAATATTTCTTGATCAAACTAAAAGCGTTGTCGTTCTTTTGATTTGTCATCCAACCGCAACGCTCTCACGCAGCGCTTTCAACGCCCCAGAAACATTGAATTATTTTTTTCATCGGCGCTAATTTTCTATTTACGAGCTTCCACATTTTTCATCGTTGATAATATATTGTCTGTGAACACACCATGTCTCAAGCGTTTCCACCATTCTTCTTTATTTTTTTTTTCAAACTGACTTTCATCCCGGTTAAGCTATCCGCGCGCTTCTGACATGTGTTCGCAGTCAATATATCAACAAATGTGGACCGAAGTTTTCAGCTGCCGCTGAAGCTCGAAAATCGTTCATGGCCGGAAGTGCCTATGAATCCGCGCAGCCTGTCGAAAAAACTGCGAAGGATTTGGAGGATTTGAAATTCGGACAACTTAAAGGATTCAAGGAAAGATTTGAGAATATTGGAGAAAATGAAGAGGTTCAGAAAACTGTTGTTGATATTGGAGAGAATAATATTCAACTCGGAAATATTAAAGCTACTTTTGAAAATGGAGAAAGTGTTGAAATGACAGCTGAAGAAAGAGCAACTTTGAAAAAACAAGAAATTGAAGCTGAATTCCAAAGATATAAATTGGCAAGAAAAGCGGCTGCTTTAAAAGAACAAGATGAAATTAAAGAGGAGGACAATGTTGAACAGAGTAAGTATTTTTCTATCGAATTACGATAACTCTTAAGTATATTTTTTTTTTTTCAGAAAAGGGGCTTGATGTTGATATTAAAATGGCTGGAAAAGCTCGTGAGAAGTTCATGCAAATCGATGCTTCTGGAGCTTCTCCAGTTGTCCCACAACCACTTTCCAAAAAAAGTGAGCCAAGTAAATGGGATAAGAAGGATGATAAACCGGCAGCTGAGATTATTAATCGACGACAAACTCAGGAAGATGAGGAGGTTGCTGATGATGATTCATTTGATGTTAAGAATTTGATGAATAAGTTCAAAAATATTGGAGAAAGTTCAACGAGTAAGGTTTCTCAAAGTGAACATCGTGCTGAATTAGAAGCTTTGAAATCGGCTGCAAAAGATTTCAAGGCGAAATTCGAGCAAGCCGCGGATTCCGACGCTGACGCGAATGCAGAAGCTCGTCGTCTTCAAATGGAATCTGAATTTGAAGCATTGAAACGGGAAAGAGAAGAAGCTCAGAGAATCTTGGAAGCTGAACGATTGGCTGAAATGGCAGAGATTCAAGGAAGTGAGGCGAGAGATGAAGATGTTGCGATTAAAGCGGATCATGCTTCAAAAAATGGCTGCGAAATGGGAGAAGATTCAACAAAAAGAGGCGAAGAAAGCCGAAAAAGGAAAAATGCCTGAAAAGAAATCAGGAGCGGTGAGTTTTTTAAAATTTAATTAATTAATTAGATGGTGGTGGTTACAGGGTCAATAAGAAATGCGCAAATATTTATTTTTTTTGTCTTCTGCCAATCACAATCACTAGTCCCACTCAATAAATCTTGTCATTCTGATTTCTTAACATACAAAAAAAAACACAAAAATTTGCTGTGTCAGGAAAACTAACCCAATTGCTTTTCTCTAACACTTTTCGGGTGCTTCTAACATTTTCTATCTAATACCGCATTTCAGAGATTCTCATTGCCGCCAGCTGAAAAATGTGCGTTGTGTGTGAAGAATGTTTATAGAGCTGAACAATTCCAGTGTTTTGGATTGTTGTATCATGTGAATTGCTTCCGATGTGCCGAATGTAAACAAGCTTTGAGGTGGGTTGAAAAAATATGGGACTTCACGGCATTTCACAGAGTGATTTGGGAAACGTGATAAAACCTTGAGATTCAAAAAAACGCGCGAAACAATATTTTTCGAATTTTTTTGAATTCAAAATATTCTCCCGCGCTTGAATTTCATGTTTTTATGGAGTAAATCGAGAAAAATTCTTCGAAAAGAAATTGCTCTATTGTTTCAAAACAAAACGCGGGGAAAATTTTTGAATTTGAAAAAAAAATTTGAAAAACATGTTTCCCGCGGTTGGTCTTGCAACGAGGAGCCGAACTCACGACCATACAAGACGCCCGTTGAGTCAGACGCGAGACGACGAGAGTATTTTGCAAAAATATACCGAAAATTCATTTCGCTTCGAGATATTTTCAATAAAACATGTGTTCCTTGAAACAAAATACGGTATTTTTTCAAAGGGACTCATATTTTCTCAAAAATATCTCGAAGCGATCTGTCTTTCTCTGTCTCAGATGACGTCATCAGTCTCCCGTCGTCTCTCGTCTGACCCGAGGGGCAATTTTATATTGGAGTAAATGGTCGTGGACTGCAAATTGATTTGATTTTTCTTTCTCTGCGTCTCTCTCAACTTGAAATTTTCCCTATTTTTTAAAGGCCGTGTGTTTCAGAGAAAATTCTAAAAATATTCTAAAAAAAAAAAAATTTTGATCTACAAGTTTCTGTCGTTAAAAAACACCTTCCCCTTGCAAAATGCAAAATTTTCATGTGATTTTTTACCTGACAGTTAATGTGTCAAAAATTGTTATCATAAGACATATTAATTTTATGCAAAATGTAAACATGTTATGCAGATAGTGAAGTTATATTTAAAATTTGTGATTTTCGAATATAAAATCAGATTTTGTAGTTTTTGTAGAAAAATGGTAATTCATCTGGTTTTTGAGCTAGAAGATTCTGAATATTAACTATACAACTTGAATTTTTCATTTTCAAATTTTTCCGAACTTCAAACATCTAACCCCTGAAGTTTTTACCTTTTCTGATTTTCTCGAAGATTTTCGTAGTCATTAGAAATACAAATCCAAAACACAAAAATTATTTTCCAAAAAAAAACAATTCAAAGATCAAAGATCCATGTGTGGACTTACTTGGAATCCTAAATTTTTCAAACTCATTTCCAGAGTTGAAAAAGCAAATCGATCAAAAACTGGTGAACTCTACTGTAAAGTACACTTCAAACTTCTCGAAGAACGTCAAAAACGAAAAATGGAAGAAGAAGAAAATAATAACAATTGTACAATTCCTGCACAAATTATTATTGAGCCATAACTATTAATGCATTTTTTCTTTCAAAACATATGTACATGAGTATTTAATTATGTGTTATTGTATCAACTATTCACTACTGCCTTATTTGATGACTACATAAAATGAATGAATAAACGAGTTTGAAAACAACAAGTTCTCTTTTGTTTCTTGTTGTTATTGTCCTACTTTTTCTTGATCTTTTTTTCGTCTTCCCAGAATTCTTCTATTATGAACCGTTTTCCTAGTGTTCATAAAAAACGACAAAATGATGTGGTAAGTTTGAACTTTGAAGAACGAATTTCAGAGGAATCGAACCAGGTCCGAATATTGGAGAAATGTCTGGATCGGACCAATTTTTTCAAAAATCAATACTTTTCGGGATTAATTCGGAAAATTTACAAAAACCGAACTTTGAGACCGATGCAGAACTTTTTTCAAAAAAATTTGACCTGGTCCGAATCCTATTTGAGAGTCGCAACCCTGGTCAGATTGAAAATCTTCCGCTATTTTTTGGTTTAAATCATTTTTCTAGGAACTATTTCAATTAAATACAATGGTAATGTTTTGGATCGGATTTTTTCCACCACTTTTCGCCGCATTTTTCGCAATTCTGGTAGCAATCATTTTTCATCAAGATAAAATCACGAATTATGTTTGGATATGTGGGGTAAGTTTTATAGAGAAGTTATACAATTCCGCAATTACAATGACGAAATATTTGAGAGACGGTTAGAGAAAAAACATTTGTCAATAGGGCGAACATGCATTGCCAGCGCCTAATCACGTCTCGGGGAAAAAGTAGCAAGTTTTTCTTTTTTAAATTTGTTAAAACAAAGTTGAAACACTCACTTTCCCTCCAGTTTTCCTCGTTTTTGACAATTATTCAACTCAAATTCGCTTCATCAAAAAATTCGCTTCATTTCGATATTTCCATCATTTTGCTGACGTTTTTCCTGCAAAGTAGAAATGCGTTAAATTTAAACAAGAACTCCAAACGAAAGAAAACTTCAAGAAAGTACATTTTTTTATAAAATTACTCTTTGAGCACCAGTTTTAGTATAAAACTATCAAAAATCAACTAAAATTATGTTACTTTTACTAGAAAAATAGATAAATATGAATTTTACAGCAAGTGTCATTCAAATTCATTAAAAAAAGCAACAAAAAACGTGAATGAAAAATTTTCGAAAAAAAAAACAAGAAAATAAAAGTAGAAATGGAAGTGCGCCCTATTGATAAAAAGTTGCATGTCGCGCGCTCTTTCAAAAATTTGTGTGTTTCGTCGTTGCTGTTTTATTTATTGTCATACCAAAATGGTTCAGGATTTTCTTTCAGCGAGCCTTACTTCCTTCTTTATCCCGAATAATCAATCTAACATTGGAAGGGTTGATCTGGCAACTTTGTATATTTTTCCACATTCCTTTTCGACTTCTTGAATTGAGTGTAGGATGTGAGTTTCATTGTTTATCATTAACATTTTTATTACCTACATAATATCATATGAGTTTTGCTTTCAATGGTCACTGATAACCAAAATGAGATGTAGTTCATAGAACGAAAAAAATGTGAAATTTTTGCAGGGGTTCGATATGGTCGACTTCAGAATATCAAAAATGAATGGAATTTATGGTATACAATGCATCGACATTTATATTTTATTATTGGAGTTGTTGAATTGATTTTGATGACCGGATTATCGGCTGTGGGAGAAAAAGAACATGGAGGTATAAAATTTAAAAATTTTAAAATTTCCTGGTTCAGCGGAGTGTAGTGTGCAAACACTTTTGCGTACAGTAGGGTTTATAATTTTTATTTTTCACGGCGAGAGAGAGAGAGAGAGATGCAGAGAAAAAACCAAGCGCGGGAAAAGTTTTCGAATTCGAAAAAATTCAAAAAAAAAACATGTTTCCGGTTGGTCTCGAAACGAGGAGCCGGACCGTGTTTTTGATTTATACTAGTGAAAAGCCTTTTTCTTCAGTTGTCCACGTGTGCTTCTTCTACAGTTTCGGAATAACCGCAATGCTCTTCTTCATATCAAACACGGCGTGTCATGCGCAATCCCTCTACTTCCTGAATCCCTACGGAAAAATATCGTACTATGTGAAGATTGCAATATCTCTCACATATTTTCTATCCGCTCCAGTTATCGTAACTTTCTATGCACTTTATTGGAAAGGTTGTATGACGTGGGGTAAGTTATTTGAAATTGGAAATTTGAAAAAAAACCTGATGTGAAATTCATTCTAGCCTATGAAATGTTTGCCCTCGTTGAGTACATTGATGTGTTTCTTGTGATTTTTTATCATGGTTGTTGTGTATATTGGGATATTCAACATAAGGTATTGTTGAAAATCTCATCGGTACCACGCGCTCCACCGAAATAAACACGCAACGCAGACCGCGTCGCGCCACAACACACACAAAAAAGGGAGGGAATTTGAATCGTGTTGTGACGCGACGCGGTCTGCGTTGCGTGTTTATTTCGGTGGAGCGCGTGGTACCGATGAGATTTTCGGCTTTCTCTTGGATTATAGATTTAGAATAACACATTTTGCTTCCAGGTTGTGTTCAGTGTTCGATATAATAAACCAATAGCTTCAGATAATATCAATAAAATACAATTAAAAGTTAATGATTTTAACGAATTAATTAATTAATTAAAGCTTCATGTGTTAACAAATATAATATGTTTTGAAATAAATTTGAAAAACCTGTGGAAATAACCGTAATATTCAGGGGGGAGGGGTGGGATTAAGATTGTGCAGACTTCAAAGCTGCTCCAATTTAAGAAGAAGATGTAGCTCGACCATCAATCTCAACAACAACATGTTCAACTTTACTGGGTGTCTCCTCGTATTTTGGTGGATACAAATATTGAATGTTCAATGGTTGAACAGTGGGTGTTGTCAAATGGTGCATATTCTGAAATTGGCGGCCGTGCATCATAGGTCTCGCACCATTCGGTGTGGTTCGCAAAGGTGTATTGATATCCTTTCCGATATCAGTGTAAACTGGAGGTGGAGCATCGACTGAAGTGACGGCTAGAAAAAATAAAGTTCATTTCTTATCAGTATATTCAGTTTCTTTGAAAAGGGCTTCCCCGAACCCATTTTTAGGGCTACGACCATTTACTCCAATAGAAAATTGCCCCTCGGGTCAGACGAGAGACGACGGGAGTCTGATGACGTCATCTAAGACAGAGATAGACATCGCTTCGAGATATTGTTGAGAAAATATGTGTCCCTTTGAAAAAATACCGTATTTTGTTTCAAGGAACACATGTTTTATTGAAAATATCTCGAAGCGAAATTCATTTTCGAGATATTTTTGCAAAATACTCTCGTCATCTCGCGTCTGACTCAACGGGAGCCTTGTATGGTCGTGAGGGGGAAACCACTCCACTCACCAATATCATATTTTGGCGGTGGTGGTAATTGGCGCAAAATTGAAGCGATTTGCGAGTGATGACGGATACGTTGAACATTTTGAGCCAACGCTGGAAAATAGTTGATCAATGAAATTTGTTGTGCACAGGTTTTGAAACGTATTGTCCGTTTGGAAATGAGATTCACCCCGCGAAAAAATAAATTTGAATTTTCTGCAGGAAACGCAGACAGCGAGAGAGTGCGCTGGCAAACAGCCAACGGTGGTTTTGTATGGGAAAGCGACCGCAACGCACACGCATCGCGGGGGTAGGGGGAAATTAGAGATTTTCTCAAATTCAAATTTATTTTTTCGCGGGGTGAATCTCATTTTCAAACGGACAATATTATATTATAGCATAGAAAAGTGAGATCAATTTTCGATCGACATATAGTTTATGCAAATTAAAAAAAAACCAGAAAAAAACTCACGTCTCTCATAACTTCGAAAAACCAAACATACAACACATAGGCAAAGAAAAACGATGAAAACAATTGGACAAGACGCGACGAGAATCACCTCCCAGAGTTCTGTTTGTGCTCCGTGAGCCACCAAATGAGTTTCGGGACTCGTTGGCACATTTAAGCTATCCATTGAGAAAATTGACTGAAAAGGAATTTTGAATGGAAATCGAAAATATTTCGAAAAAAATGGGATACCATTGTGACCGCCAAAATAAAACTATTTTGAAACAATAAATGAATGGTAAGAGAAGTGAAGCAGACAAAACTTGAAATTTTTGAAAAGAAAAAAAAAAGAATTTATTTATTTATTATCACTGGTTAGTGTGTGTGTGTGTGTGTTTTTGATTTGAATTGGTTGAAAAAATATATATTGATGATGATGATAGGGGAGGTGGGAGGAGTTTAGATAAATATGGGTTTTTTTTTCGTCGAAATTTTTATCAGATGGTTGGGTTTTGCAAAAAAAAGGAAAGGAAATAATGAATGAAAGTTGCGTTTGATTTATTTCTCGGAAGTTTCTAGGGCTAGGGGAGTTTGGGGCCTTAAAATAGGGCCGGTTCGGACTTCAGGGCACAATTTCTAAGAGCAGGGTAATCAACTCATGTTCTAGAATTTTTAGAAGATTTTTAGATGTAGATTTGCGTTAGCCCATCTCCTACTTCTAACAAAAATTCAGAATGATTTTCTGAATTTTAAAACTTTTTATTTTCAAATTTTGCCAAATTTTTTTTCGATTTTTAAAAATTGGTCCGATGTTTCTGGCCCTCAGAAGTTTCCTTAAAATCTCCCCTAACTAACTCACTTTCCAGAATAAAGGTGCCCAATTGGGAAGCATTTTTGATCGTGAAAAAAATAGAAAAAAAATGAAACTTCCTTCGGAAGTATTCTTTTTTTTCTTGTTTTTGTTTAAAGACCCCAAAAAAAAGAAAAAGTTTTTGTCTCAAATGACAAAAACAATCATTTTTATCATTTGAAAGTGCGTAAACACGTGTTGAACTTTTTTGATTAGGGAGAAAGTACTCATTTACTTTTTGGCTGAAATTTTGATTTTCAGAATTTGAAAGGGAACCTAGAAAAAAAAGAAAATGAAAGTGAAGAAGTAAACCAGGCTTTCAAAAACAAAATTTTTTTCCTCATTTCATTTTCAAATCATTTTATAATCTTTTCAAAATCCAAGAGGGAGTGTTCATCCGATAATCCAATACTGTTATTTTTTTTTCATCAAGTGGAGTGATTTTCATATTTTTCCTCTTGCAATTTCTGATATCAACGAAAAATTGAGGCTTTTCCAAGTTTTTGCGGGGGTTTCCCGAGCTGATGAAATGGGGTTATCAATACAAGAAAAATTATCAGTTCTGGAATCAAATGTTTACAACTTGATAGTTTTATACTATCACAAAGAAGCAGAAAATGAACTGTGGAACTTTGAATCGAAAATAGATGATGTAAATTTTTTTTATGACTTCGGAGGTCTGGGGGAGTTTTGAAATTGAGGAAAAATTTTTCAAGATTTAAAGGGAACCGGCGTTTTTCTAGAAATTCGAGAATTGAAATGAAATTAAAAAAAACAAAATGATATCAGATTGGAGCAAAAGTGCATACAATTTTTCCGGTTATATTATATCGATAGGGCTTATTTTTCATCCAGGGAAAGTAGTACTCAAGAGGGATTTGAAATTTTAGATTCCCTCAGTATTTCATTTCTATATACGCAAATCACACCTGGAGAAACGGTGGCCAAAAATAAAAAAAATTTCGCCGACAACAGGATTCGAACCCTGGTCTCATGGACGCCAGTCAAAAATGCTATCCTCTCGGCCGTATCTCTCTTTTCTCCCGGAAGCGAAATGTTGGTGGAAAGGAAACTGTTTTCAAGCAAATGCGTTGCACGAAATTTGAAGTTAGGAAAACTAAGCTTTTTGCGCCGAAAATTTATGCTTTCTGGAAATTTTGGGAATAACAAAGGGTCATAATCAGCTGATCAAAAACAAACAAATTCAAAAATGTTTCAAAAATCTGTGAATTTTTTCAAATTTCAGAAAAATTCCATGTTTTCCAACCACAAAAAAAATAAGTTTGCAAAAAAAATAATTTCTGTCTGACCTTTCTATAATTGTAGCCAAAACAAAACTTGAGATTTTGCACTTCTCAAAAACCCAGGAAATAATTATTTTTCTTACCTCTTCTTCATCACTGATCTCACACGATAACCATCCCATACAAATCATGTTTGATTTTAAATTGAACCTGTAGTCAGAATAGAGTTTTGGTCTCGAAAACTAATTTCAGAATAGAAAATGAAAAAATGAATTGAATTTTCAAAAATCATTCGCTTTTATTTATACACTTATAATCCGATTATCCCCAATGTTTTTCGCGTTTTATGATAATTTTACCATTGAACTTTATTTATTTTTTTTTTTTTTGGAAAAAACCACTGCTGATTTTTTGGAACTCACCGTCACAATCATCGTGTTCCAAGGATGAAAATAAAATAAAATAAAATGAGAATGAAAAATCTCGCCGCCAACAAATTTTTCTTGTGTTGAAAATTATATGGTTTGGTTGGGGATTTGGGAAGGAATTTATTGGATTCGGGAAAAGGAAATAAATTTTGTGATGCTTGTCTTGAGAAATGAAATGAAATGAATCCAAAAAATTGAAATATTTGTAGCGGAATTTGGATACAATTGGATAATTAAAAGGCGAAAACAGAAGATCGGGTGATTAATGTAAGATTTTCAGTTGTTAGATGACATCAGGTGTTCAATTCTTCATTTTTGAATATACAGTATTTATTCTCCGAGTTATAATTGCGGGATTTTTTCGAGATGGTGAACTTTCTCACAAAAATTCAATTTTCTAGTGCTCAACGCCACGTGGATTTTTTATAAAAGTGTTTTCAAAAATTTTCTGGCCTTTCAGAATATTTTTGGTCTGATATTTTTGAAAGATGGGGTTTCAAGTTACTGTAAATTGATTTCAAATCCCAAGTTCAAGCTGAAAATGGGCGGAGCTTCAGAAAATCCAATTTTCAGAAAAAATAAATTCCAAAAGATCAATTCTTGGATTTTTTTTCACTTAAAAAAGTTCTTCTAAATAAATATTTCATTCAAAACTTAACTTTTTTCCTTTTCCTTTTCCTCATCCAAAAAAAACGCACTTTATCACTTTTTTTTTATTTTCAAAAGCACTTGTAACGATGGTAACCCAACTTTTTTGCAAATAATTTATCCTGATATCACTTCTTTATCTTAAGGCTTCCCTAAGGCTTCTCCTTCCCATTTTTATATTAATAAATAAATAACAAAAAAATGTATTTCTTGTTTTCTTTTTTTTTTTTTTTTTTTTGGAGCGAGCTCTGAAAAAAAGTCTCATATTTTCCAGAGATACTAAAAAATTCTGGCATCCATCCTCTCAAGAGTCATCCAAAAAAAATTATTTATTTTTCATTTTTTTTTTATTTTTCGGGGAAAAATCATTGCAAATTAGAGGCTACAAATTATTAGCAAAAAAGGATTAGTTGCCATAGATTTTTTCATTTATAACCAAAAAAAATCTATTAATTTTTCAGTTTCAGACAAAACATTTTCAGCCTGAAATGGAAGAGGAAATCACAAATTTGCCAAAGTCTACAACAACTGAACAATTGTGAGTTTATGGCTTTTTTTTCATATTTTTTGGGCAAATATGTATTGATTTTTTGTTTGGATTGAAAATTGGGAAAAATTTTTCAAAATGCTGAATTCAGTATAAAAATTTTGTTATCAGGTGGAATTATTTCTCTTTCTTCTACAATTTTCTGATTATTTTATGATTTTCGAACTTTTATTTTCTTTTTTCTTTTTTTTTTGTTGAAATGGTGAATTGCCACGTGGCGTAAATGCGTAGTTTTGTTTAGAAATAACAAAAAAAAATACTTTTTGAAAAAATTCTGAAAGGCTCCGAAATTTTTTTTAATTTTTCTCCGATTTTTTTTTGAAATTTCAAGAATTGATCCTATAAGACTTCAAAACGAAATATCGAAAAATAAAAAAATTTCAACATAAATATATCTTAAAATTTTTGAACTTGAACTTTCAAAAATTTTTGGCAGCTTTTCAAATTCAAATCAGAAAAGTTGGTCTGCTGCAAAATTTTTTTTTATTTTTCAATTTTTTTCCGATTTTTTTGAAATTTCAAGAATTGATCCTATAATTTTATAAAACTAAAAATAAAATTTCAAAATTCCCAGGCCTACTTCAAATTTTTTTCAACCGCCCATTTTGAAGTGCCGCGTGGCGTAAATGCGTAGTGTTGTTTAGAATTTTTTAATAACAAAAAATTTCGGAAACTTTTTGAAAAAATTTAGAAAGTTTGCAAATTTTTCAATTTTTTCCGATTTTTTTGAAATTTCAAGAATTGGTCCTATAATTTTATAAAAATAAAAATAGGAATGCCACGAGGCGTAAATGCGTAGTGTTGTTTAGAATTTTTTTTTGAAAAATTGAGGGAGACTTGAAAAAAAGTTTCTACAAAATTTTAATATTTCAATAAATATATTTTCAAATTTTTCAATTTTCAAAAATTTTTTGGCAGCTTTCCAATTTTGAATCAGAAAAGTTGCTCTGTTGCACAATTTTTTAAAAATTTTCTATTTTTTCTTGAGAGCTTAAAGCTCGGGATTTTGGCTCACTAAAACTTTTCCTAAAAAAAAAATTAAAATCAAACTTCAAAACCCCCAAAATGGTTAGGTCAAGGCGTGGCTACGTACTCACTCATCCACCCTCGTTCAACATTCCTCAAATCAACGGGACTCGCTTTTTCACTGGTCACAATTCACGCTTCCTTTGGCACTTTTCTTTGAAACCGGTAGTATTCTTCAATTTTAAGTGAAATTGTACTTAGAAGTGAAATTTGCACGATATAAGGCAACTTTTATAAACCGGTAACTGAATGTTTGAGGAGTTACTAGAAAGCTTCCGAGTTGTTGTACCGGCCGTCCGGACCAACCAGTTTTTGGGGAAGTTTTCGAGGTTTTTGAGGGGTGGGGTGAATTAGCGGTGGACGGTTTACGGGTTAGGCGATGCGATATGAATTGTAGGGAGATCAAAAATAATTTTTGAAGTCTAAAAAGGGATTTTTCTTTACAATTTTGTTAAATTTTGTCTGAAAATTCCAGTTTTTGGTTAAAAAACTGGAATTTTCAGACAAAAATTGAATGAACATTTTTCAAGTTTGAAAAACCTCTAAAATTTTCCTGAAGATAATTTTTTTTAATATTTAGGTCTCAAGTTTCCACGTGGCTTTTAGACTTACAGTATTCCTTTTTTCCAGATTAACCGAAAATTCGCCAAATGCCGAAAACGTGTCAAATATCATAGTGGAAAATTGGATATTCGCTCCAATCGCAATCACAATTCAAAAAATGAACTCGCACAGAAATCGCGATGTTCTTCATGTCGAACAAAGGGAGTCTAGATCTTCGTTTATGTTACAGGTTGGCTTGAATCGGGCCCACGACCATACAAGGCGCCCGTTGAGTCAGACGCGAGACGACGAGAGTATTTTGCAAAAATATCCCGAAAATTAATTTCGCTTCGAGATATTTTCAATAAAACATGTGTTCCTTCTCGGGACTGCGGTCGCTGTCTGGTCGCACTTATGCGACGAGGTTTTTCCGTGGCGCATAAATGCGACGCGTTGTCGCACTTATGCGACCATGTCGCAACTTATGCGACCAATTTTTTCCGTCGCACAGATGTTTTTTTTTCGCGACATTTGTCGCACTCTCATCTCAGATTTGCGACACTCGGTCGCATTTTGAAAACAGCGTTGCGGCAGCAGTCGCAACTTTTCAAACTGAGTTGCGACGGGCTGGTCGCATATATGCGACAATGTGTCGCATATATGCGACAACGGTCGCATATTCAGCGACCCCAGTCCCGAGTTGAAACAAAATACGGTATTTTTTCAAAGGGACACACATTTTCTCAAAAATATCTCGAAGCGATGTCTTTCTCTGTCTTAGATGACGTCATCAGACTCCCGTCGTCTCTCGTCTGATCCGAGGGGCGATTTTCTAAATGGTCGTGGGCCGGGTCCAGCTCTGTTCAAAAAATCAGGTCCGATTCCAAATGTTGCGCAAATTTTCAGGCTCTGATACCATTTTTGTTCGCTGGCCTCGGCCTGATTTTTGCCGGAATTTTGCTAGAATCTGCCGAGGGTTCGAACTTCTTCACAGAACTTCCTGATGCAGTCATAATGATTCCGACGTTAGTTGGATTGAAGGGCAATCTTGAAATGACACTGTCTTCAAGACTTTCGACTTTGGTAAGCAATATTTCTCACCTAATTAAAAAATCTCTAATTAATTTCCAGGCAAATCTAGGTTTCATGGAATCCCACAAAGATAAAATCAATGTAGCCCTCTCAAATCTGGCACTAATTCAATGTCAAGCAATCGCCGTCTCAAGTCTCGCTGTTTTTCCAGTTCTAATATTCGGCGAGCAACCATTCTCCTTCGGCGATACTTTATGTCTTCTTCTCAGCGCCGTCGCAACCGCCTCTTTCGCCTCATTCCTATTATCCCTTCTAATGGTCGCCGTCGTAATAATCTCTCGCAAACACAATCTAAATCCCGATAATATTTGCACTCCAGTAGCCGCATCCCTCGGAGATGTCTCAACTTTATATATCCTATTAACTGTGGGCACCGTAGTTAGTCAAGTTCGTCATATTCACATCACATTTCTATTCATTATCCTAATCCTATTTTATTGTCTCGCAATTTTCGGCGCATTTTTAGCATCAAAAGATCGATTCACTTTGGAAGTTTTGAAGAATGGATGGTGGCCGATTTTATGCGCAATGGTTATTACAACTGGAAGTGGATTTGTTCTCAAATCATCGATTCATTCATATCCACCAATCGCTGCCTTCCAACCTCTGATTAATGGTTTGGGCGGGAATTTGGTGGCTGTTCAAGCAAGTCGAATCAGTACACAATTGCATAAAGCAAGGAAGAATCGAGAAATCGAAGTGGATTCGATTTGGAGACATTTTAGTCCACTTCGAAGTTTCTTTTCGAAATGTAAGTTTTGCACGTATTTTGTTGCTGAACAAAAAATCTCGGTTCGCTGTTTAAAGGGACATTCTTTAATTTTCCACAAAAATCTCAAGAACGGCTGCACCAAATGAAAATCTGAGTACACCATCTTTATCGCCGTGAAAAACTGCATGGAAATAAGCTTTGGTGGAGCGGACGGGTGCAGTTTTAGCGTTTCGGGGTTCGTGGCGAGACCAATTTCGAAAAATAGCGCGCAAAATGGAGAGACGCGAGACATTTTTGTGCATTTGTGCGTCACCGTGTTTGCACAAGTCAATACAGTATACCAACCGCGAACCGAGGGCCAAAAAAATACGTGCGAAAAAATTGGAAAAATTTTCAAAAATTTCAGCTGAAGACTCAATCGCTGCGCGAATTCTCCTTGCAATCTCAATTCCTTCAAATATCATTTTTATTCATGTCATATTTTTTATTGGTGTCGGATTCGGGAACACATTTTGGTTCACTTTATCATTTCTAGTCGTTTGTGTCATTCAGGTAAAATGAGCAATTCAGAAATTTAGCTCCCAATTTTCTTTCAGGTCACAATCCTACTCTACGTCTGTCAATTTCTAGTCCGTGCCATGTGGCTAATGAGAATTGATCCCGACAATTCAGCAATCCCATTTCTAACCGCATTGGGTGATTTGATCGGCTCTCTATTGCTCATTTTATGCTTCTGGAGTCAATGGAGATATTTCAATTTGCCAGTCTCATCTGATCAATATACTGGACACAAATTCGGTCATTTTTAGATAATTTATATTCTCACGGGTTAAGTTTTTTCCAAACAATTAACATAAATAGTTGTTTTCCTCAATCATCTCCATCTAATTCATAATCACAATGCACAAAACAAGTTTCAACAAATTCCAACATTTTCAATTTTTTCTCGAGGCTCGCCGCAATATCATGAGTGATTTTTAACGGCAGATTTTCATCCATAACAATATGAACTTCAGCGATTGCTTCTTGAGTTGTATGATATAAAATAACATGATCGATTTTCTTGATTCGATCATCATGTTCAATGACAATTTTGAGAAGTCGAGAAAGATGCACAGATTCAGCACGACGGCCAACTAATTGAGGAACACTTTCAAAAGCATGACTGTACCATCCGAAAGCAATCACACCGCTGAAAAAACATGTTTTTCTAAAAAAAAAATTTGAATTCAAAAATTAATTACCACACAATAATCGCTCCAACTGGATCTGCATACGGCCAAACTCGATGTCCAAGAGTTGCACAAACAATCGCAGTAATTGAGGTGGCGATATCATTTCGCATATCCATTGCTAAAACTTTTGAGGAATTTGAGCCACGTTTGTAGCAAACAAGGCAGAGAATTAGCTTAACTCCAGATCCTCCGAGCATTATTCCCAATGTGTAAATATCCATGACCGGGTTCATCTGAGCGGGGGAAATTGAGAAAAGTTTTGAGGCGGGATTGCTCATGTTAAGGGCTTTAGTTTGATACCTCTTAAGTCTAGGCTTAGGTTAGGCTTGTGGGGTTTCAAATTGAAGCTCTTAGAAATCCAGAAAGGTCAATTTTTTCTTTGAAAAAATGTTTTTTTTTCTGAACACGACCATTTACTCCAATAGAAAATTGCCCCTCGGGTCAGACGAGAGACGACGGGAGTCTGATGACGTCATCTAAGACAGAGAAAGACAGATCGCTTCGAGATATTTTTGAGAAAATATGTGTCCCTTTGAAAAAATACCGTATTTTGTTTCAAGGAACACATGTTTCATTGAAAATATCTCGAAGCGAAATTCATTTTCGAGATATTTTTGCAAAATACTCTCGTCGTCTCGCGTCTGACTCAACGGGCGCCTTGTATGGTCGTGTGAAGTTGCCTTGGGAAATTTAGAGCTTCCATCAAAAATTATTTTTCGGAATCTTGAAATTTGCAATAATTCAGTGAATTCCCAAAAAATCAAAAATTTCCAACTCACTGTTCCAGCAAGAATCGATCTAACCGATTCCAAAACCAAAATCGAGTTCGCAATTCCCATCAAAATCGAGCAAACAATCACACCCAATAATTCAAGTCTCGCTCTTCCTCTCGGATAATGAAACCTATCAGTTTTCTCAATCATCCGAAGACATATTCCAATTATCACTCCAGTACTAACATCCATCAAAGAATCAACAAAAGTACTAACAATCGATAAACTTCCAGACATAATCGATGCCAATAAATTGGTAAAAAGTAATGCCAAATTCAATGCAATTGATAGTTTCGCCAATAATCTATCAACTGATTGTTCAACTTCAAATGGTTTCACTTTTCCTTCCATCAAATCTTCATCTTTTTCATATAATTCAGTCAATTCAGCCAAACCCGAAAGATACTGAAAATAAAATTTTTTTTTTTATTTTTTATTCTAATCAAGAAATCACTAGCTCACCTCATTCTTCGCTTTCGATCTTCGCATTTTCTCAAACCTCGATACATTTTCATTATGATAATATTTGACAGGTTTCGATTTTTTTCGAAATTAATGGAAGAGTTTCATATTTGCTGGAGGACATTTTGAAATAGGTAGAACAAAAATAATTGAATGAATGTGAGTGAAAAAGTACAATCAGCTGCACTATTGAAAAAACTTGTGCTTTGTTATCAACTCTTTTTTTTTGATGATTTTTGGAGACGGCTTGATTGAGAGATTCCTTGTGACTTGTGCTGTGCTTGAAATTTGGGGGAAATGGTGGAAAATATTGAATGGGACCATATTAGTATCTCGGACTCTTGATCCCAGAAATAAATTGTTTTTAAAATTCTTTCAGAATGAAAATATTATGGGGTGATTCAAGTGGAAAAAAAATAAAAAAAAACATTTTTTGACAAAAATTTCGATTCAGCAAATGTCAAAAAACTATATTTTTTCACATTTTTTTCATTGAAATATTTTCGCTGCGAGATATTTTTCATTTTTGTGTGGAAAAATATAGTTTTTGACATTTTCTGAATCGAAATTTTTTTTTAGAATTTTTTTCAGTATGAAAATATTATAGTCTGACTACCGTAAACCAATATTCTAGAGAAAAAGTTCCAAATTTTTGTGCTACAGTACCCCTACAGGTTTCACGAACTTCTTCATAACTATTATCGAAAATCTCCTCGCTCCACCGAAATAAACACGCAACGCAGACCGCGTCGCGCCACAACACACACAAATAAGGGAACGATTCAAATTCCCTCCCTTTTTTGTGTGTGTTGTGGCGCGACGCGGTCTGCGTTGCGTGTTTATTTCGGTGGAGCGCGTAACCCTAAATCTGACCAAGATCTGACGTGAAATTGAGCACAAAACCTGTCTAGCCAGGCACAAAATATTTGTAGTGTTCAACACGTAACAAAGGCTCTTATCATGCACGTCCTCCTCTTTTTCTTCTGCTTATCACCTCATTTTTTGTCTGTTTCGATGGAAACAAAACAACCCCGAACAAAAAAGATAAAAAAAAACTTCCAATTATTTTTTTTTTCATTCTGTCACCAAATTTAATCCCTCTGACGAACCTCATAAAATGTTGTTGTTCATCAATCGCATAAATATTGTCAAAAAATGCGCGGTTCATTGATTTTTCTGTGTTTTTTCGTGAGTTTTGCGGCGACTTCTTATAAAGTTATCGTTGTCAATGATCAAAGTGATATTTATGATTATATGAATCAACCGGAAGAGGAATCGGGTTCTGGAAGTGGAAGTGGAAGTGCTGATTATTACTATGATTATGATTATGATTGGTCTGGAAGTGGAAGTGGATCTGGAAGTGGTTCTGGAGATGACTATGAATCTGAATCTGGAAGTGGAGCAGAATCAGAATCGTCAGGAGGAGAAGCTTCCGGGTCTAGTTCTGGTTCTGGTTCAGGTTCAGGTTCAGACTATGAATATGAATATGAAAATGGCTCTGAAGGCAGTGCTCCACACACAAATGAGACTGATATCAATGACGATTCAGGAGGTTCTGCAGGTAAACCAAATCAAAGTGTTTTCAATCCCTAATTCAAAAATTTTAGAACCCATAATCTTGCCCGAAGAACAAACCGATTCGACAGATTCAATTGAAGATATCGAAACCGGTGCTCCTGAACAATCAACCGAACCACCAAGAAAAGGAACAACTTATGATTTCGAGAATATCAAAACGGGTGTGCCTGAAGCATCAACAAATCCACCAAAAACTCCGATTGAAAATGAAGAAGGGGGACCGGATTTGAAACCAATTGATGGAAAAACTGGAGCAACTGATGGAATATTCATTGCCACTGATGTTCCGTATTATTCAACAAGTGATGATGGAATGGGAAGTTCGGAAAATTGTTTGAAACGAACTACGACAACACCAGCAACATCTTCGGGAGTACAATTATCGAGATGGTTGGAGGTGAATTGAAAATTTGACAGGAAAAACTTTTATTGCGAAATAATGTAGCCATACTTTTTCGGTGGAGGTCGGACAATCTGAAACGATTTGAAAATCTGAGAAATTTGTTTAGCATTAGAGCGCGTTTGGGATTATAAAAAGCTATAAATGCATTTTTTTCGATGGAGCGCGTTTGCTCATATATCCCAAAAAAATTGAAAAAAGCTCCCAAAAATAAACATTTCATTGGAGCGAACTTGCATCTCTTGTAATTTTCATCTTCAAAAATCGATGTTTTCAATTTGAAAATCTCAAATTGAGAAATTTGTTTAGCATTAGAGCGCATATGAAGCTAGAAATGATTTTTTTTCGATTTTTGAAAATGGATTTGAAGTTCGATGGGGCGCGGTTGCTCACATACCCCAAAAAAATTGAAAAAACCTCTCGAAAATAAATATTTCACTGGAGCAAACTTGCATTTCTAAATACATCTTCAAAAATCGATGTTTTCAATGGGGCGAATTTGCCAATTTTCAAAAAATCTTTTAAAAAATATATTTGTTCAATGGGGCAAGTTTGCTCTTTCACCCAAAAACTCTGATTTCTTCAAAAGTCCAATAGAGCGAATTTGCTAAATTTCCCCCCAAAACAACTCACCGCCGCATAAATATAAAGAACCACAACAACCATCAAAAACAGCACACAGAATCCCAAGAAAATCGATCGATAAATGATATCCTCCAACTCGTTCGACTCGAAAAACAGCGCTTTCAAATCAACGCATTCCTAGAATATTTTTATTAATTACAATTGGCTGGGTAATTAATTAATTAATTAATTAGTCAATAAACTTACCACAATTGGGCATAGGATGGAGAATAATAGTTTGATTAAAAATTGGTTTGAATACATGATTAAAAAATGGAAGAAATGAGAGGAGATGGGAGGATTTTCACGTGGAAAAATAAAAAAAAATGTTTTTTTGGCTGTCTTTTTAATAGGTGGGTAGGTCAAAAAATAATTTTAACGAAACCGATCAAAAGACACGTATTTTGTTGCTGAACAAAAAATCTCGGTTCGCTGTTTAAAGGGACATGCTTTAATTTTCCACCAAAATCTCAAGAACGGCTGCATCAAATGAAAATCTGAGTACACCATCTTTATCGCCGTGAAAAACTGCATGGAAATAAGCTTTGTTGGAGCGGACGGGTGTCGTTTTAGCGTTTCGGGGTTCGTGGCGAGACCAATTTCGAAAAATAACGCGCAAAATTGAGAGACGCGAGACATTTTTGTGCATTTGTGCGTCACCGTGTTTGCACAAGTCAATACAGTATACCAACCGCGAACCGAGGGCCAAAAAATACGTGTAAGAATGAAAAAAATATGCGTGCATTTTCAAACCCTACGGTACGCAAAAATGTGTCGCAGTGTTTGCACACACCAATCCGCGCGCGACTTCAGAAAATTTCAAATTCATCCAAGTTTCATTCCAGGACCTAAACATGCGTCGAAATCAAACAGCCTCCACCGAAGTCTGTGATCAATATTACCAATCTCGAGTCGCTGATCATCTCGTCTCCTCCGAATCCACTTCCCAATACAATTCTCTAACATCAGCCCTAAACAACATCACATTATCTCAACAATACATAACTTCTTTGATTTCATCTGCTTCCAGCCCAGTTAAAACTGCTTATGCTGAAATTTGTAATATGACAAGTAAACAGGCATTTTATGATCAACCAAAAAGAACAAGATATAATCAAGTGAATAATGTGATTCAGAATTTGTCGGGAGCTGCGCAAAGTGAATTGAATGAGATTAATTTGAAAGCCAAGGTGGGGGTAGATTTTTTTTTGGCGCCAAAATTTTTTTCTGAATTTTTCCAGGCTTATTGTCGAGCTTCAAACGTCGATACTCCACCATACACCCTCGGAAATATCTCTGGACTAAAACTTGGAAATGTAAGCCTCCCAATTTTCTCCAAAAAAATCCAGATATTTTCCAGGGTGCAATTCTCACCAAATGATCCAAAATCCGATAATGAAGATATTTTTGTAAATAAAAAAATAAAATAGAAATTCATTAACAAAAGAAAACAAAAAAAAAAAGAAAACCGTGGACAAAAAAGTGATATGCTGGATTTTCAAGAAAATTAAATTTCTTTTTTTTTTTCAAAAAACACTATTGCTATAGAATTATACAGGGAAAAGGGGGTGGCAAAACATTAAAGCACTCTTCAAAAATTTTAAAATGAGAAAAAAAAAGTCACCGGAATAATTATATATATTGAATTTATGAGTAGAAAGTCAGTACAGATTGTTGATTTCCACGAACAAATAAAACAGGCGGTAATCCACGTGTCATGGCTTCGAGCCAAGAAAGATAAAGTGATGAGCTGACCATTCCTTTTCGAGGGACCGGAAGTGTCCTGCAAAATAAGAAATTATTTTTCACAGAATCTCAAAAAATTCTTATTTGCGCAAATTGCGTGAACTATGACGTGGATATTGAGCAAAATTTATTTTGGGAAAAAAATGAAATTCATTTTTTTTCAAAATTTCTCCTTTCCGCTTCAAAATCTACAGTATCAAAATTTGGCGCGAAGATAAATTTTTTTCCAATTTCAAAAAATCGAAAAAAAATGCCACGTGGTGTCAAAAAGAATCGAAAAATATTGCAATTTTCTAATTTTGGGGCCAAAATTAGTTAAAACCTGAAAACGAGCAAAAAAAAAAACAAAATTTCAGCCATATTTTGGTGGCGGGAAAATTCTAGGGGATTTTTGACATCAAAGTTGTCACGTGGCAAAATTTTTGATTTTCAAGCAAATTTTGACATTTTGAAAACTTCATAATATTTGATGTCAAAAAGAATCGGAAAATTTTGCAATTTTCTAATTTTGGCCCCAAAAATTTACAGTATTATATTTCAGCCAAAATATCAGCGATAAACGTGCTAAAAGCTGAAAATCGAAAAAAATTAAGATAAAAAGCTGGAAATTTCAGCCAAATTACTGCATTGGCGAGAAAAATTCAAAAATTGGGAAATTTCGGGATTTTTGACATCGAAGTCACCACGTGGCAAAATTTTTGATTTTCAAGCAAATTTTGTAATTAATTTTTCGCGTCAAAAGTGGTTTTAAATTTTTTTTCAAAATTCCCAAAAAACTCACATAACAACAAGATCAGATTTAACCGAATGCTCTTGCAACAATTCACCAGCTCTCAATTGTCGATAAGTTTTATCTCTTTGCGCACTCAATTCCGAATTCGTCGTCATTCCAACCGGACAATTTCCATCTTGCGCAATGAACGGATCAATTATCGATTGCCATGTTTTCATCGTTTCCTGCCGTGGCTTCTTTCCAATATCCGCAATCACCGAAACATCGCTAAAATCAATTCGGAATTTCGATAAAAGTGCCGCCATTCCCCGCTGTTCCTGTTCCATTGTCCTCGAACTCGTCGAAATCGTAAAAATACGCAATCTCGCTCCCTCCAAATACGATTTCGGAATTGTTAATAAATGCGGAATCAAAAGTGTCAATCCTCCATCATCATACAACCACCAAACATCAATCACTCCTTTTTTCACTTTTCGTTGAAATCTGGCAATTGAGGCAAGCAATGCTTTCTGTTCCATTGTATGTCGTCGAGATCCTCTTCTTCGCAACGAAAAATGTCGATGTCTTTCACTTTCATCCATTTTTTCCGCTTTTTCAATATCTTCTGATTTCTCTTCTTCTTCCTCTTCATCATCTTCTTCCTCATTTTCTCCTCGATCTGATTCATATTCTCGATCTTCATCCTCTTCTTCAGCATCCGAAACATATTGTTCATTGAGAGAAGTGGAGGCTGAAAATAATTAGGATTTCTGGGGAGATAAGAAAAATCAGGAAAAATTTCACAACATCTAATTCACAATACAACATTTCTTACAAACCATAAATATAAAATGCATTTATTCTTTGAAACATTTCCATACTTCGGGAACTTCCCCGATGCGATAACCGGGCTGCTAAATATTTTTTTTGATATTCAAAACTAGACTCTAGTTTGGAGGATTTTCTTAATATAAAATTCAACAAAAAAAACTCACATTCATCATCTTCTTTTGCTTGCAAAGTTGGCTCTTCTTTTTCAATCAGTTTCACTTTTCTGAAAATTTTTTTTTAGGATTTTCAAGAATTTCTCAAGAAACAAAACCAACTCTTCAGGCGTTTTATCTTCCATTTGTGCCAATTTGATTGGCCGCGTTTCTCCGATATTCAAATTTTTCATGGCTTCTGAGAAATCGAGTCCAACTTGTCCGTTTCGAAGAACACAAACACCCATGTTACAATCGAAGACATCTCTGAAAAATGGAGGATTTTTTGGGAGGAAGATTTGAGAATTATAGCATTTTTGGGGAAATTTGGTTCTGGCTGCAGATTTGAAAGATTAAAATTCAAGAGAAAATAAATTCGATAATTTTTGGCGCCAAATTTGAATAAAAATTAAAAAACTAGAGCTCTGGAGTATTTTTGGTGAAATATAAATATTCAGCGTTTAATCAATCAGCCTAGAAATCTAGACTAGAAAAATTTCATTTTTGTCGATTTTCGACCAAAAATTTGCAAATTTCACAAAATTTTAGTAGCCCTGGAGCATGAAAAATTGATATTAAATATAGTTCAAACTAGAGAACTAGACTAGAAAATTGAATTTTTATCGATTTTTTGAGTCAAAAATGGCGACGTAAGAGAAAAAATAAAAGAAATCGTTAATTTTTGGTGACTAATTTGCAAATTTCATAAAATTTAAGCCCTGGAGCATGGTTTATTGAAAAATTGATATTAAATATAGTTCATACTAGAGAACTAGACTAGAAAAAATGGATTTTTATCCATTTTTCCCTAGAAAACTCGGAAAAACTCACTGTATAGTCCCAAAATATTCATTCATCTCATTCAAATTCGCCTCACTCGGTCCTTCTTTATACCAATTCGATTTGAAGCCAACCAACACAATATTGGGTCGCATTTTCGAAATTCCAGTCAATTGTAGAAGTGATTGTGCTCCGATTCGGAGGCTCGAATTCGCCACACTTTGATAGAACGCCTTGACTTTTCGGCGTCTCAGCCAATCGTTTAATTGTCGGTCCAATTTTCGAATCACCGAGAACACACGATCTGATGGGTCGTACTGAAAAACATCTGGTTGTAAAGGAGCTCGACCTTATTTCCCCAAAAAATCTTACCGGTACAACATATCCACAAATCAATAAACTGCTTCCTTTCGTAATATTATTGGCAAAATCGACCAATGATGGTCTGGCTGCTGGATTTCCAGTCAACACCAAAAATTGAGGCCGATAGTTTTTGACGTGTTCTTCGGTGGTTGATAATTTGATCATTGCGGATAGCGCATTTTTGTAGCTATGGGCTTGTGTTGAGGAACCCCAATTTACATCTGGAACAGATTTTAGAGATTTAAAAAGAAGATAAATATTTTGTGGTTTTTGTTAGTTTATTTGTAGAAAATCACATATTTTTAATTTTTGAGCTCTAAAAAAATAAAAAAAAATGAATTGACCTAGATGTTTTTGAAAAATATCCAAGGATATTTTTGAACCGAAAAATCTAGAATTTTGAATTTTCAGAAAACGTTTTACACTCGTAATGTTTCCAGAGGAAAATCGGGTAATTTTCAAGCTCAAAAATTTAAAAAAAAGGAATTAATGAAATTTTCATGAACTTTGTGATTCATAAATCGATAATTTCACAATGTTCATCCTAATTTTTTTAAAAGAATTTTTCCAATTTAAAAGTTTGGTTTCAATTTATTTTTGCGAATTTTTTTCAGTATTCAAATTGAAAATAAAATTGATAATAAATTATATCGAAATTTTGAAACGTATTTTTTTTTGTTTAAAAAATTAGAATTTGGAGTCCAAATTTGTCTCAAAATCGCTGAAAATCTAGAATAAACCTATAGAGGAAAATCCCTAGGAGGAAAATCAGAAAAATTAATATTTCAGATTTTCTAAAAAATTGAAATTTTTTAGTTTCTACAAGTAGAAAACATCAAATTTCTTGATTTTTTTTGACGAAACGAAGCAATTTTCAGCTTGGAGTTCATCAAAAATGTGAATTTTCAAGTTTTCAGAGCTAAAATTTTTGAAAAAGAGTTATTTGGGGATGTTTTTGGACCAAAAAATCTACAATTTTGAAAACATTGATGAAAATCGGGTAATTTTCAAGCTCAAAAATCACTTTTTCTATCAAACTTCCCCCCGTCAAAATTTACCTGGTTTTCTATGCAAAATATACATAAAAATGCTAGCAAAACAGAAGAAAGTGACAAGCGCCGTCGCCCAATCAATAATAAACATGACAAAAACGCACAAAATCGCTCCAATCAACGAAGTCCACATATTATAATACTTGAAACCCGGTCGAAAACCCGGCGAATCCGCAAAACTTTGATCGAAACACGCATAATTAATAAGTGCATAACTACCAAGGAAAAAATTGGATATAATTGGAGCAATCGCATTGAGTTCACCAATTGCGACCATCGAGAGGGCTAAAATGAATCCTAGAACATAGGCGCGTTTCGGTTCTTCACTTTTTCCATAGGTTTTTGCGAAATAACCAATTTTCGGGAATAATCGATCTTTGCAGACAGCTTGGAAGACTTTTGGAGCACTAACAAGACTTGCTAAAGCGGAAGATAGAGTGGCAGCGAAAATACCAGCAATGATTAGAATCTCGAATAGTGATCCGTATTTCATTATATTGTGATTGTGCATGAGGCCACCTGTACAATTAAATGTTGCTGCACATGGTGGTCTTATGAGAAAATCAGTTGTATTGCTTGGGAACAAGTCTGTCGGTTCCATATAATATCTGCAAAAAAATTGAGTTTGGAGTGTGGAAAAATGATTTTTCATGAAAAAAAACCCCTGGAACCATTTTTTACCAATTCTCTTTGTGTTCAAAATGTTCAAAGCTGAATTTTCAAGAATTTGAGGTCTGGAACAAAATTTGCCATAGTCTTGATCCTCTAGGGACAAATTTCATCAATTTTCAAGCTCCAAGGCTGAATTTTCATGAATTTGAGGTCCAAAACAAGATGATTCACAATCTGGAACCTTTAGGGTCAATTTTTCCCAATTTTCAAAAATTTCACAAGAAAAAATTTTCAGATAATTTTCTAGAAGAACTATTTTATCCACGTGGAATTTTCAAATTTCGAATTTTTAGCAAAAATGGTAAAAAGATTCCACGTGGATTTTCACAGTAAAAAATCAATAATTTTGCACTAAATATTCTCCGGGTAATGAAAATGTGGATTTTTGCAGTACAAAAAAGCGGAAATTCTGAAAATTTCATTCGTAGTGAATTTTTGGCTGAAAATCATCTTCTAAAATTTTACTTCTCAAAATGAAGATCAACTGAAAAGAAACTAGAGGTTCAGAAAATTTATAAACAAAATATTTTGATGCGAACTTGGATTTTTTAAAATTTCTAATTTTTCACACATTGCAAAACAAGAAAAAATGCCACGTGGATTTTCACAGTAAAAAATCAATAATTTTACACTAAATATTCTCCGGGTAATAAAAAAGTGGATTTTTGCGGCACAAAAAAAGCCGGAAATTCTGAAAATTTCATTTGTAGTGAATTTTCGGCTTCTAAAATTTCACTTTTCAAAATGAAGATTAACTGAAGAGAAACTAGAAGTTCAGAAAATTTATGAACAAAATATTTTGATGCGAACTTGGATTTTTTGAAATTTGAACGCTTCAAATGTTTCAAAACTAGCGAAAAAATGCCACGTGGATTTTCACCGTAAAAAATCAATAATTTTGCACTAAATATTCTCCGGGTAATTAAAATTACATGTGGATTTTTGCGGCACAAAAAAGCCGGAAATTCTGAGTGAATTTTTGGCTGAAAATCATCTTCTGAAAGTTTACTTTTCAAAATAAATTTCAACTTTTCTCTGGAAAAAGAGATTTTTTTTTTAATTTTTTAACGTTTCCATGGAATCCAGAACCCAAAAGCCTACAAACCTTTGAGTAGTTGCTCCAGTCACCCAAACCGTCGCAATATAAACAAAAGTTGTGACAAGTATAGCCAACAAAGTTCCAAGTGGAATCGCTTTTTGCGGATCAGCCAAATCGCCACTAATATTAGCACCGGCCATAATTCCCGTTGCTGCTGGGAAATAAATCGCGAAAACCGAGAAAAATGTATGATTTGCAGTGTCGCTTTCGTGTTCTTTTTCGAAATTCGGCAAGAAATTCGTCTTTAAATTATCCCATTTGTAGCCGGTTATACCATATTTTTGTTGATCGGCGCTTAGAGGATTGAAAGTTCCAATGTAGTAATTGACGATTGAAGCGAGAAGAATGAAAAGGAGACCCATTTGCATTTTTGATTCGAATTCAGTTCCAATGAAAACAATTCCCATCAATATGATACAAGTGACTGAAAATATGATATTCAGGAATTTTTTTTTGAAAGAAAAATCAGATACGAAATTCAAGATTCTGACAAGGGAACCTGGGGACCTCTGAGCCAAGTTCTGAGCTCTCAAAAGTTCAAAAATTGCCTAAATGGTCTCATAAAAGTCATCATAGCTCGATTTCAAAAATTTTTTGGGAGAAATAAAGTTTCAGATATTAATCAGCATGGTCGATTTACTAAAAATACATCAATAAAAAACATTTTTTCAAAAAATTTTGAATTTTTTTTATTTTTCGGCTGAAAATTCATGTGCCCCTGCTCATTCTTTTTTTCAAATTCAGATATTTTTCTGAAAATTTGATTTATTGATGTTTTTGGGTAAATCGACCACGCTGATCATCATCTTCTACTCAGTTTTTCATACAATTTATCGAGAATCGAGTTATGACGTGTTTTATGAGCCAATTTTGGCAATTTTTGAACTTTTGAGAGCCCAGAACTTGGCTCAGAGGTCCATTGGGAGACTAAAATTTTTAGGGTGTTCTTATGGCCCCAAAAGCTGTCCATGGACCAAATTTCATCATGATTTGAAGTGTTGAGTGAATAAGGTTTCCTTGTGAACAGGCCTGTGCCGGAAATTTTCCGAATTTTCCGAATTTCCGGATTTTCCGGTTTTTTCACGGAAAAATAAATTTTCCGATTTTCCGGAAAATGTACTCGGAAAATCCGGAAAATGATCTTTAGTAAAGTATTTTCAAAATTGCCTAAATTTTGGGAAATTTTCTCAGTTTATGATAGAAAAAATGAGATTTTTTGGAATTTTTTTCCAATTGTTCAAATTTTACCATTTTTTGAACGTAAAACGTCTCAAATAGTTACTAAATCACCTGCGAATAGAAAAATAGTAGCTAAAAATAAGTTTTACTGTCAACTGAAGGCTGAAAATCGAAATTTAAGACTTTGAAAATTTTCCGAATTTTCCGGATTTTCCGGTTCAAATAATTGGGAAATTTTCCGAATTTCCGTTTTCCGGGTTTTGATTTTCCGGCACAGGCCTGCTTGTGAACTATTTCCAGAAGAAAAACTCACTGAATCCAATAATCCTCACATCATTAATCCCTCCATCAAAAATCGGCATATCATATCCCATCAAAATATCTCTAACCGTCTCAGCAAATCCAACAATATACATAGCAGCTCCAACCGCATTCGCAATCGAAAAAATGATACCAATAGATCCCCCAAATTCAGGTCCAAGTGATCGAGAAATCAAAAAATACGCGCCACCACCTTTCACATCTCCATTTGTGCAAATGGCGCAAGTTGAAATCGCGGTAATTGTTGTGACAAGTGAGGCGAGTAAAACAATACAAGATCCTAGACCAATTCCAGCTTGTCCAGTCACCCAACTCAATCGAAGATATAGCATAACTCCAAAAATATTGAGAATACATCGAACAAATACCCCTTGAACCCATCCGAATTTCACTCGATTTTGTTGTGTTGGCCCTTTCATTTTCTCAATTTTTCCCGGTTTTTGGATATCATGATCTGGTGATTCTTCCAAATGATGTGTATGCGCATTCAATTCTTCGAAACCAATTTCTTCCGGAATCGTTTGATTACCATTTATCAATTGAGCCATTGAAGGACGAACAAAAATACTTTCAGTATCAACAGAATTCCGATAAAAATCAATAATTGGTGGATGCTCGATGGTTTTCATATTTCTCCAACTTTTCATATTATATGTAGTTTGATGATCCTGTGATTGTTGTCGATGCATACTTTCATCTTTTTCTTCAACATTTTCTTTATCACCAACCGAAAAATGAACACCACGATGTCTACTTCCAGCTGGAGATTTGTCGCCTTCTCGAAGATCGGCCAACTCGTCTTCTTTCGCATCATTTTCCGATACAACCATGAATCTTCCAGTTGCACTCATTTTTCGGGTTACAGTTGGTTCGATATTTGATGGAGGCGGTTCGCTGCCACTTTTTTCCTTTCCTTCGCCATCCCCAGTTTTACTGACCTGCAAAATTGAGAAATGCGCGATTTTTTGAAAATTAATTTTGAATTGGGAAAAATTTTCAAAGGTCACGTTCAAAAATCTATTATTAGAGAAAATATTTTTGTTTTTGTTAAAAATGTTTTTCTAATAAAATTTCGTGGAATTCATCTAAAAATAGTTTGAGCATGAATTTTAGAGGGAATTTTAGGCAGTTTTTGAATCGGACCATAGGAATGGGACCCGATTTTGAGGGTTTTCTGAATCGGACCAGGGTGACATTTCTTCAATAGGAATCGGACCACAAAAAAGGAATCGGACCAGGTCCGATTTTTTGAGAAAAATTCTGAATCGGACCCGAAAAATCGGACCACTTTTTCAAAATATCCTGATTTTTGCACCAAAAAATTAACTTTTTTGAAAAAGTGGTCCGATTTTTCGGGTCCGATTCAGAATTTTTCTCAAAAAATCAGACCTGGTCCGATTCCTTTTTTGTGGTCCGATTCCTATTGAAGAAATGTCACCCTGGTCCGATTCAGAAAACCCTCAAAATCGGGTCCGATTAATCGGACCAGATTTTGTAAAAAAAAAAACATGTAAATTTCAGAATTTCTATTTACAGGATCTCTTTTTGACTAGGAATTTTTCAATGTTAGATTTTTCTGTTGTAACTTTCGTGGCGAAAACCAGATTTCGATTTTAAAAATGTCTGAAGCCTTTCATCTCTCTCTTTTTTTTCAAGACATTAATTTTCAGACATCTGTTCTGCTCCCTCCAATCAATATTTTACCTGAAACCTTGCTGTCGATGCTTTCGAATCATCCAATAATCGTTGCTTCTCATCTATATTGTTAGTTTGCATGTCATGTGCTGAACGAAATTAAATATGTGTGAGAAAAAATCAGGGAAAATTATTTATTTTATTTATTTGATAGAATACGATGAATCATATAAATATTATTATTCGCATTATATTATTTTTGTCATTCAAAAATTTCTGATAATGCAATAAGAAGAATGTTTCAGAGATCGAATCCAAATATGAAAACAAAAAAAAGTGTAAAACGGGTCAAATGATGATGAGAGGGGGAATTGGGAAAAAGCTCAAAAAATGTCCAAATATTTACATTTGGGGAGACAACCGAGTCGCACTAATATGTTGGCTCGCCAAATTTAATACAGTTCTCAAATAAGGTTGTATTATAAAAATAGTGGGGCTTCAGGGAAAAAGATGAACAGATTTTGATATGTCGAAGATCAGGCCTGTGCCGGAAAATCAAAACCTGGAAAACGGAAAGTCGGAAAATTTCCGGATTCTTTGAACCGGAAAATCCGGAAAATTTTTCAAAGTCTGAAATGTCGATTTTCAGCCTTAAGTTGGCACTAAAACTTATTTTCATCTACAATTTTTCTATTCACAGGTAATTTAGTAACTATTTGAGACGTTTTACGTTAAAAAATAGTAAATTTTGAAAAAATGAAAAAAAATTCCAAAAATTTCATTTTTTCTATCATAAACTGAGAAAATTTCCCAAAATTTAGGCAATTTTAAAAATATTACTACTAAAGATCATTTTCCGGATTTTCCGAGCATATTTTCCGGAAAACCGGAAAATTGATTTTTCCTTGAAAAAATCGGAAAATCCGGAAATTCGCAAAATTCAGAAAATTTCCGACACAGGCCTGTCGAAGATATTCATCTCTCTAGATATCTATTTTAAAAATTGCGAAAACAATTTGATGAAAAACATATGAAAAACACAAGGATTATTAAAATTGAGGTGATTTTTTTCGCAACTTCTAATATATCTAGAACCAATTTGTCTACAGTCCCTAGACTGTAAATGAATATCAGACATCAATCATTTCTCACATGCCGGACTTTGAAAATTTTGTTCTACGAAAAAAAATAGATAAAGATCGGTGAAATCATCCTTTAAAAGACACCTACAAACCAAATGAGGCAAATCTTGACCTTGGTCTTTGTAGGAAAACTGCACTTTTCCGCGTTCACAAAGGAACAAAAATTGAGAAAAAAACGAGAATTTATTATGTATATATGTATTTTTTGAGGCAAACGATTTATTCCCATGAGACTTCAAAAAGGTTCCACCCAATTGTTTTTCGCTCTTTCTTATGTTAGCCTAGCTTTTGGTTTTTTATGAAAAAAAAGTTTGGCGAAAACAACAAGAAAAACCCACAGAGGAAGCGTCGTAATCAGATACTATTTTGTTGAATGAAACACTCACAGAAGAGAAAAAATGGAAACGGCTCCCGAAATTCTTTTTGGCAACAATTTTGTTGTATCAATGAAAAATAAATAAATGTTTTGAATGGGAAAAAAATGATAACGAATTGAATGGCCACTGAATAATTTTATAGAGCATGGAAAAAGGGTTTGGCCGGAAATCGAGATGACGTTTATTCACTTCATGGTCATCATGAAAAATGGGAAAAGCGTATGATGTTATCGAATAAACTACAATATTTTTGTTTTTACGAAAAACAGGAAATCCTCAAATATTCTAGAGATGTCTACGCTAATTTTGGAAATAATCAGAAATCAGGAAAACATGTTTGCAGCCCACAAACATCAAAAAACGGTCAAAGTACAAAAAAAAAAGAAAAGAAAAAAATGTCTGTGTCAACACG